ATTTGCTTGATGTGAGGGATCATATGGAAAGGAAATTTGGATTTCAAACCAGAGAAAAAGTAGAATGAAGCTTCCTAGCTGTACCATATATGGAGTATTCCTTCTTCCACTGCTAAAGTAAATTTGCCTCTGTCTGCTCTCTTATGGACCGTTACCAAGTGAGCATATCATGTATTGCCCGTGACTGTGGTCATTTATTCGATTTTGTTTTTTAGGTTTCGTTCACTTCGCAGATTTAAATTTTCAATTCGAATTAAGATATGACATTTTTTAATAACTTTTAACGGTAGTAGAAAAAGTTAGATGTGATATTTTCTGAGAATTTTTAACTATATAAATCTAAAACTGAAAATTTAAATCAGTAAAATAAACGATGCCTTATTTTTTAAATTTAGGGGTGGGGATTCAAACTCTCCACTTTATAGTGAAGTTACGTATAAAGCTATTGTTAGACTATATCTGCAATCGCTATTAAAATCTTTTTTGTTAACCCTACTTAAACTTTATGGGCAAAATAATGAGTTCAAAATTTTTTTTTTTGGTAGAACAATAATTGAATAGCCTTTGGTTCATTTAAGGGCTATTCATGATATGACCTATTTTTGTGCGAAAGTGCGCGCAAACACCTATATGTACGTGTGTGTGTATGCATTAAAAAAGAGATAATTTTAACCCCACATGATTATGAAAATTACAATTACACCAATAAAAATACTATTTTACCCCCACGCACGACGTGAATTCCTTGAGGGTCAACTCTAATCATATACTCTCAAGGGTGTACGTTTATTTCTCATTTCTTTTTCTTTTAAATTTTATTCTTCTTTTTTGTTTCGTTTGCCATTTTTTGGAAGACAAAATTTTGGTACAAAAGCATGCAGTGCTTTTTCTGGCTACAACTAATATTGGGAGATTCTTTTTATAATTTCCCTATTTTACTTTGATCTTCTGTAGCAGATCACACGTGTTTTTCACACCATTGCACGAAATATTTTCTCTTCAAAAAACGTAAAAAAAAAAAAACAAAAAAAAAAAAACAAAGAAAGAAAGAAACGCGAAAGAGATCTTCCAAATCACCATAGTATATACTACTTTCAATCCTGGCTCTTATTTTATGAACACATTTATTAATATAATCAATAAACAAACACGACTAATTATTAAGCTTCAAAAGCACTCGATAATACAGTAATTGTAATAAGACATAAAAACTTACAATCCTTCATGAGAAGTAAGCAAATGGCCAATGCAAAGCGCAATATCACACAACTGAAAAAGGCGATAGTTCTCAGTCTCCAACGGATTCACAGCTTCCCTCCCCATCTCCTTAAACCCTTCCTCGCAAGTCTCCGCTGCGTCCATGACCGCGCTGAGCCACACGCGCGCCGTGTCATAGCGCTCCCCGAGGAAGGCAACCATGGCGCCCACGAGCGTCTCTACGCCGTCCGAGTACAACTCCAGGCAATCCTCCAAGCAGCGTGAGGAGAGGGGGTCGAAAGGCGCCGGAGTCTCGTTACCGAGAAGCTGTTTGATGGCGGAAATGGTGCTCGTCGCGTTCTCGATTGCGAGCTCCATGGCCACCAGAGCCAGGCCTTGGAGGTTGGTGATGGCGCGACTGACTGGGACGGCTTTAAGAGAGGCTGAGCAGAAGCTGTAGCTGAAGACTGAGGATTTGTCTGCGCATTTCTTGCATGTTTGGTTGATTATGTCGGACGGTGATGTTGGGTTGATCAAAACGGAACTTGCAGTTTGATGGGAAATTGTGAGAACCAAAATGATGAAGGAGAAGGAGAAGGAAATGTGCTGCATTTTATTTTATTTTATTTTTTTTCCTAGGGTGAGGTGAGAGATGGAAGCTACGTAGATGTATATACTATGAGTACTGCTTAGCTTGGATAACAATTTAATTCTTGTGGTACGAAAAATACTTACTATCCCGTACTAAGCACCACTATTAACCTATGAATCTCACACTGTGAGACTCACTTTCTATTAGTGGATGGTGCTTAGCATCATCCGTGCTTTGTATTAGTGAATCTCACACTGTGAGACGCACTTTTTATTTATAGATGGTGCTTAGCATCACCGTGTCTTGTAGTAATACTCTTGTAGTACACTATTTGAGTTTGTCTCTTTTTTTTGTCTTTTGTTTAAAAAATTGTTATGTTAATTAATATTAAAAATTTATACTTATTAATGGAAATCAATGAGTTTAAGAGAAAATTTGATATAACTGTGTCTAGAATACGATTAATATTGAATGCAAGTTTGTGTACATTTTTTTTCCTTTTGTACACATCGGCGTAGATGAATAAGGACACTTAGGCCCCGTTTATTTTACTGATTCGAGTTTAAAATTCGAGTTTTGCTATAGTAAAAAGCTCTCAGAAACAATCACATCTAACTTTTTTGCTATAGTAAAAAGCTCTCACATAAAATCACATCTCAACTCAAATTAAAAACTCGAATCAGCGAACTAAACGGGTCCTTATTACTTATTTAATTTTTAGTGTATTAAATAGTAGCTAACTATTAATCATGTGATAATACTTTATTGTTTTTTAACTCACTTTTATATGTTTTAATGTTTACTTGTTTAGGATATTAAAATTGGATATAAGATATGAGTTGTATTGAAGAGGTTAGCGACGTGTCATGTTAAGAGACAAAATCAAAAAAATATAGGATTTAACTCACATGTCTAATTTTGAGATCTCAATTCGTGTCTAACTAGTAGAATTGTACCATGTCAATTAAAAGAAAACTTAAACTAACTTTTAACTAACTTTTTTCATGCTTTAATATTTAAATTATTAAATAACGTCATAATGTGATTGATTAATCACCGATTGAGACATTAAAAATTGAACACGAGTCCAAAAATATATGTACTAAAAGGCAGTAATACTAATTATACATAACGTGACAATCACAGTAACTTACGTATATATGGTTGGACCGATCGTACGTCTGTTTTAGCCTTTTTAACAAATAATAGTTACTTCTTCGAAGAGATAGCAGTAGCAACAAAAAATATATATATATATATATATAATTAATAGATAAGACTCAAAGCCAATGAGTAATAACTTCAAGTAATGGTTACCGATTGGCCATGCACGTTGTATGCATATAAAACTACGTCAACAGTCAAGAGTACAAATTGGCCTGATCAGATCAGGAAGCTTCCTCGATCGCTAGCTACGTGCTAGTTAAGTTCTAAATGTGATTCACGTACGCATGGACATTTGTAATGGAGTGTAAAGAGATTATACATATGCATATGCATATATATATATATATAGCATTTTTCTTTGAGATTTTTATTTTACTGAAAGTATAAAGACGTAATAGTTTGCAAAGCTTTCTTGAGTTTCTTCTCGTCAACCAGTAGACCGATTTTTTATTTTTATTTTTTTAGAGAACAAGTGAACAACGAATTTGCTTATACGATACCCATGAAATAGAGAAGCTCAAGCAATGGGCTTAAAACTCTGCGATGGCTTCTAGTCATGCTGCTTTTAGTTTCTGTACATAATACATATTATTGATTTTTTATTCTTCCTAATTCCATTAACGGAGGAAGAAGAAAAAACCATGAAGATTCAAGTAGCTAAAAGTGGAGATAGTGAAAGGTTATAGGTAAGAATACTTGCAACAAAAAATGAGGGAGAAAAAGAAAATGAGGCCCACATGTTAAGTTTTATTTACTAAAAAAAATTAAGAGAAGCTTTGGATGATTTGGACTACGGATTACCTGTACAATACCAGTAGTTTATACCTGGATCGTGAGGGTCGTGAGAAAATGAAAGTCGTGACAAATAGGACAGATCTTTTTTTTTTTAATGCAAATTTTATAGAAACTGTCATCACTGGTATATTGGAAATTAAATACCAAAAGAGAAAAAAAAAAAAAAGAAGAAAGAAGAAGTTCGATGCGAGCTAGGTTTTAATCACATGATATATTATATATCCTTCACGTCATTTCCATAAATTTAACTTAAAAACATACATCCAAGGTCAATAAACTCTCTTTTTTTTCCCCTTGTAATCACAATGAACTTATTAAAACTTTTTTTTTTGTGTGGAAAACTTAAAACAGCTTATTGATGAGCAAACATATTGATAAAAACAAGGGAAATCACGGTCCATTGAAAGAAGACATTATTCTCCTGAGTCAAAGGAGAAACTTCACCTTTCTTTTCACCAAACCCGTCTTGGCAAGTGGAAGATGCATCCATTGCAGAGCTTATTTCCACATTAACTCTATCGAAATTCCTCCATTTGAAGTCGCGTTTCGCGTCGCGCAGGGAAGAAACAGCGTCGGAGTATAGTTGTTGGCAATCTTTTAAGCAGTTCTTGGCATAGGGGTGATCAATTACTTTTATTTTTTGCCTCAGAAGCATGGAAATTTTGGAAGCAATCTTTGTAGCATTGTATGTGGTTAGGTCAAGAGAGGCGAAAGCTAGTTCTTCAAGGTCTGTTACATTCTTCTTGTTCTTGAGATTGGCCTCTAGGCTTGTGACACAAAAAGTATAGCTCAAATTTGGATCGGATTTTGCAGCTTTCTTGCATGACCGGTGGATGAGGTCATGAGAACCCAGAGAGCAATGTTGAAGTAATAGGAAAATAAAGATGAAAATGTAAATAGAAAAAAATGGAAATCTCATTATTTCTCTTTTTTTTTTCGAAGACTTTGGGATTTGTGAAATTTTTGGGTCTTTATAATGCAATTTCATTAGCAAAATTATTCTTGGTGCAATATCTTATAGCCTTTAGACGCTGATTTTGCATTTTGATATTTATGATTTTAGTTAATTTATTTTTCTACATTGGATGTATATTTTATCACGCAACCGTTTGAAACATGCATGCGAGCCTAATTAAGTTCTCAGAAGACACTTTTTGAGGTCAAATTTTATAACTGGTTTTTTGAAGAAGAGTTTCCTTTATCGCTAGATTGGTTACGTTAAACCGTCCAAAAGACAACAAAAAATTAATTATTTTGCCAAAACAACTTAAAGGAAACCCATATACGTGGAACTTTCGTTGCTACCATGAGGTAAAAATAAAATGCATTGCCTGCCTTTTTTCAGCAAAGATAAACCTCTCATGTGCAATAATAAATTTTCGGTCCCAAAAACTTTTGATATATAACAAAATATTGACTTTTTCTTGTGCGTAGCTTGTGATTTGTCGATGCATATTTAACTACTAGTTTATATACATCCCTTCGGATTTCCCAAGAATATAATTAGTTCTATTACTTATTATAAGTCACAAAATTTTAACAAAATCGATCACAAAATTTTTGGTTTTGGCTCATGAAACGCGAATCTTGTTGGGAAGTGATAATATTAATCAAGTGGGCAACGAGAAATAGAACATACTAAAATCTCATCCTCCGAATCCGAATATTGTGGGTGAATTTGGCTTGTTCAAACTGAGTCCATATCTGCTATCTCGATTTATTATTTTTTTAACTATCATTCCACTACTTATTTAATATGTTATCTAAATTTATAAATCTCATCACATGAATATGAATTAGATACTAAAATAATATATACTTGAGCTATTCACAAAGTGTCAAAATTTAATTTGAGAGACAACTAACGAGACAGATGAGACAAAACTTGGTATCCAACAAGATATTATTATCCCCTACGAGGATTCCTAATAACTCCACAAGAGCCCGTTTAACTACTTCTCTTTAACCATACGAGGAACTAAAACCCAATCGAGTGTTTATAATCTTTCCAAAGACTCATCCAAATTAGAGTGACTAAGAAAGCAAGTATAATTATAACCTCGGTTACTAAATCTATAGTCTTTTCGCAAGTAAGGGAGTGAGTAATTTAGAAAATTGATTGATCAACCAAAACACAGATATAGGATCATTACCATATCATGGGTTACTAAGATGTTTGGTTCATGAATTAGAATCATGTGATTAAAATTATTTTTGATTTATGTGTATTTTTTGTAAGAGAAAATACTGTAGCGAACCACGAACCATGATTCGAATCAGGAGACGAATCCCCCAACCAAACAACCTCTAAACCTAAACCTAAACCTACCTACGCTATCATGGGTTACTTTGTGGTTTGTATTGCCACAGCGGGCCGAGAATTTTTCATGTCGTCTAAATTCATATCTACCTTCGGCAACATGCAACATCATAAGATTATTTTCATAAAAAAAAATTCCTTCTTGCATCACAATTTAGTTGTTGTTTACCACTTCTCTCTAACAAAAGAGGATTAAAAAGGATGAAACATCAACTTGTTGATAAGAGGAGTTTTGCTTGTTGGTTAAAATCTTCGAATAATTTGTAGAATAAGTTATAGTCTATTGAGCATGAATTCCAAAAATTTAAAGGATAGGCACCATATCTTGTGCGCAAAAAAAAAAGGAAGCAATATGAAAATAGGAATCTTTCACTCTGTCACGTTTGATACAACTATTGGAATTTTTCTAAAATCAAGAGTCCATGTCCCTCTGAAACCTAAAAAAAGGTGTGTTTGCATCGGTGGAAATGTGAAATCCATAAAAATTATATTGTCTAAACATCACAACTTTGTTTTAAAAATGAATAGTAACAACATCATGCCACAAAATTTCATAGATGTTTAGTATATAAATTCTGCTACATTATAAATTCATAATTTTAATTTTGTTACAATATTTTTCACATAAAAAAATTTAAATTTTAAAAGTTATAATCAATATCTTAACTGTATACTAAAAGGGCCCCAATTCATTGCCACTATCTTGTTGGAAGTACGGTTGCTTGAGGCATGTTGATGGAGATGCAGGTGGTGGTACTCGATGATGCCACAAGAGGGCAAAGGATCTTTACTCTTTGAAAAAAGTTTCTACCTTATTCTTGCCCTAAAAAATAAAAAAGGAAGTTATATAGTTAAATCTAAAATTGTCGTTATCAATTTTTGTTTTTGTTTTTGTTTTTTTTCTTTTTCCAAAGATCATTCCTCATCACGATTCATGTTAATACATTTCTTTTTGAATAAAATCATTTTAGTACATTGTATTATAATAAAACATGTTCTTGGTACTCTGTATTTTTGATAAAATTAAAACGACACCTTAACATTTTTAAAAATATTTTCTTAATACCCTGAAGCTAATTTTTAGATATGTAATGTCTAAATTACCATTCTTATTAATTAAATAGAAATCAATATATATATATATATATATTTTTTTTTTTAAATCTGAGAATATATTTTAAACATTAAAATATTTAAAAGAAATGAGAAAGTAAAAAAGTTTCATATTTTTCTCTAGATTTATTAGTTTTTAGTTAATTAAATAGAAGGGTATTAAGGTAATTTTATATCTAAAAAAATCAGCTTCAGGGTACCAAGAAGATTTGTTAAAAGCGTCGAGGTATAGTTTTGATATTATAAAAAATACAGGGTACTAAAAACATGTTTTGTCATAACGCAGGGTGCTAAAATGATTTTATCCCTACATTTTTTAATTGAAACGATGAAGTATATTCATACTCCACAAGGTATATACATATTATAAATATTATAAATATACTAAAAGGAAGGCATGGAACACTATTAACACACTTAGATTTCACTGTACATTGTACAGTGAAATTTCACAAATTTCGGTTTTGTTCCTTCATTTTGAATGGCCAAATTTGCCCTTCTTTTCTCTTTCTTGGGCAGGGGTTTTTAGGTCTTTCGCATGGATGTCGCCATGTGTCGACTATCGGTTGGCTGAAGGAGAAAGGGGAGGGGCCACGGCAGCTGAATTGCCAAGTTTGCCCTTTCTCCCTCTCTTTTCTCTTTCTTGGGTAGGGGCTTTTGGGTCTTTCGCGTGGCGTCGCCACATGTCGACTCTCGGTAGATTGAAGGAGAAGTGGCGGGCCCACCATTGCACAACTGTCACTCTTGTTGAATGTTCCTCACTTGCGCGTGCTTCTCATGCGCGAATTTGAGCCGTCAAACTTTTTGATTAGACGGCTTTAAAGTATTTACGGTTTATTTTTTTTATTTGTATTGTTTATTATATTTATTTACTATTTTGAATTGATTTAGAGTCCAATTTTATTCGTTTCACCACCGTTTTGTGCCAAATTTTTAATATTACTCATATAGAAATACCATAAATAATATAATAAAATTACGCTAAAGTAAAATAAAATCACACCAGATTAAATAAAAAATTAATCAAAACAAAATAAAATTAATTTAAAACACAATAAAATACTTTAAATTATTTTCTCCCTATCTTTGCCTGAGATTTTCCCCCGTTATTATTTTCATTTATTTTATGTCACCTTTTTTACTTCTTTTTTTTTTTTTACAATTTGTGTTAACCATTATTTTAAATTAATCATGTGCGCACGTTTAATACTAAAACTAAATAAAGAATAAAAAAGAAAAGAAATTAGAAAAGAAAGGTGTTGATTTATAGTCTGATTTTATCCATTTAATATTATTTTACGCAAGATTTTCAAAGCCTCGCAAATGAAAATAGTATAAATAATTTGAATGAAAAATAAAATTAAATAAAAATACACTAAAATAAAATAAAGTTGCATCTTCTTAAATAAATTAAACTAGGAATTACTTCGGTGGTCGCATCGAAATTATTAACAGCCGCATAGGCGCATGAAGAGCTTGTGGAGCTAATAGTTTGCTCATATCACTAATGATAATATATTAATTATTACTATTCTTCTATTTTTTCTTTTTTCTTCGTCTTTTTTAATTCATGATGATTCGTGTAACCATTATTTTATATGAGTCATGCGCATAAAGGCACGGTCTACTTCATATTTAAAAATTTTTATTACCTTTTTATGTAATTATTTTTACTTTTACATATAAGGATTTTCTCACAAAAATAAAAAATTGAGTTCTTACTAGCATCAACAATACCAATATAAATTTTCAATTTCCTTAATTATTATTATTATTTTTAAATTTATATTTTACAGTTAAGAAAAACAAAAAAAAACAAAAAAAAAATTATAATACATTATAAGAAACTTTTAGGCCTCGTTCACTTTGTGCATTCGATTTGAGATATCACATTTTTTGAGAACTTTTTACTGTAGTAAAAAAAATTAAATGTGATATTTTTTGATAATTTTTTATTGTAAAAATTTAAAATCGGTAAAATAGATAAGGTATTAGTTAGAATATTATATAGATATATCACTTCAGTACGACTAATTCCATCTCCTAATTCTCCCCTACGACGTGTAGTTCTAACCAGGCTGAACGACGTCATTTTGTCCTCGCCTTCAAGCTGGGCCGTGCTGCCGTGTCCCATAAGACATTGCACGAGCCGCACGCCCAATATGAAGCTGCGAGTCCAAACTACCTTCTCACGTGCCAGTGGGACCCACCATAACACTCCACAGGCGGTTCTTTCTTACAGCAGCCCAGTCAAGGAAGCGCGTGAATTAATTTCGCCAATATTTTCTGTTGCTTTTCGTCGGGTACATACCGGTACGTCATCGTCTCTTTACTTCGTGATGACGTTTTTGCCCCCAAAACAAACAAAAAAATCACTCTCTCTCTCATCTCTCCCCTCCAAACCTCTCTTCCTCTTCCTTCTCTCATTCATTCTTCTTCAGCAAACCCTAACCCTAACCCCCCTTTTCTCAATTTCTCCTTCAATTTCCTCTCATTCCCGAACTCTCCGTCCTGAAACCCTAGCCATCAGCTTCTGAATTGGCAGAGATTCTCAATTTTTGTTTTTCCAATTTCCGATGGATTCTCAGCAAAGCAATCTCTTCGACGCGGCGTCTCAGCCTGACACCGCCAACGACGCCTACACATTCCTCGAATTTAACACGCAAGGTGAGGACTTCGATTACCCGGAGTTTCGCGACCCGATTCGCTCCTCCGTTTCCTGGCCCACGCCCTCCGATTCCCTCTCGGACCCCGCCGACCGCGGCGGTGGGCCCGGAGGGACTGATCACCAGTCCGACGCCTCGCCGGTATCCACCTCCGGGCCCGGGATCGCCTCCAAGGGCCGGCCCGGCAGCAGCGCGAGCAATCAGGTGGTCGACTCCCTAGCGGCGGGGATGAGCGGTCTCAACTTCGAGGACACCGGAGACGACGACAGTTACGATTACGGAAAGGGGGATTTCACCGTGCACGCGTGCCGCTATTGCGGCGTCTCGAACCCGGCCTGCGTCGTGAGGTGCAATGTGCCGTCGTGTCGGAAGTGGTTCTGTAATTCGAGGGGAAACACGTCCGGTTCGCACATTGTGAACCACCTGGTGAGTGTAATTTTGTTGAATGTGGCGTTTATTTTGATGTTTGAGAACTGAAATTTGGAGATTAATTAGGATTTTAGGATTGGGAAGTCTGGGTGAGTGATCATAGGCCGTTACGAGAATTGAAATTTGGATTTGAGGATTGGGAAGTTTGAGCGAGTGATTATAGGTCACTGCGAACGTGATTTCCTTCGTTAGTTCGTTTTAATATTTTCTTGTGGGAAATTAGGACTTGAGGCTCGTTTTGAAGCTGGTCGAAAACAAATTTAGGAATTTTGTAGCCAAGGATTTAACTGTGTACTCGTTATTGCTGCTTTTAGTTTCCTTTGAGGTGCACCTTCTTCAGTTGGACAACTTAAAAACTAGAAAGAATGGTAGATATGATAAACTGAAAAATCATTTATTTAAGGAAGGAGCTTTACGTATACACTGGTTTCGGAAAAATACTTTGTTATACTTGAAGTTAGCGCCATTGGTTGCGTGATGCGTAGGCATTTATTTTGATGTTTGAGAACTGAAAATTCAGATCAGTACAGATTTTAGGGTTGGGAAGCTTGAGGAGTGATATCAGGACTCGAGCCATTTCGAACTTGAATTTCGTTGTGGTTGTATTTTAGAGTGGGAAACTAGAATTGGGGGCTGGTTTGAAGGTGGTAAACAAAAAAAAAAAAAAAAAAAAGAGAATGATTTTTAGCTGTGGACGTAACCATCTGGGCGTCTATGTTTCTTTATGTTTCCATTTTCTCTAGTACTGTTGCACTTATAGTTAGAGTATTTTGGTTGGAGTTTGGGTTATGACATAATAATTGTTATGTAAAGTAAGAGCCTTACTTATACACTGGTTTCGGAAAAATGCTTTTTGGTAGTTGAAATTGGATAACATCAGGACAAATTGCTTCTAGATGCCAAAAATTAAGAACATTCCACTGGAGTCACAACTTATAGAGAAAGAAGTTATAGTAATCAAACAGGATAGTGTTGACCTATGGTTTGTTTCAGAATTTTTTTTTTCTGGGAAGTTTGTTGACCTAAACCTGTAGTTATTTTGCTTGTTATTATATTATAACTTCTATTTGATGACCACTTATGTGCGGGGGCTGAAAAACAATTGTAGGAGAAAATTCTAATAAATTTGTAAATTTTGAGCATCGTCTACTTAACTTGCAGATTCAATTGTGTTAAGTTTTATTTACTTATTTTTTTCAAGAAAAAAAAAAAAGAATTTGCATCACAGCCTACAGGCTTCACTTTCAATTTATGCCACTGTCATCAAGTACAGTATTTAATTAATTCTTGTATTATATTGCTACGAGCCTATCATGAACTTAAATCACCTAATGATTTCTGTTGCAAAAATTCCTAAGTTCATTTGTCACATATGGACTATGTACGATTTTCATATGGGAAAGATGATACTCTCTAAAATAGTTAGTATATTGGTTCCTCATGTAGGTTCGAGCAAAGCACAAAGAAGTTTGCCTTCATAAAGACAGTCCTTTAGGAGAAACAATCCTTGAGTGCTATAACTGTGGATGTCGCAATGTGTTCCTTCTTGGGTTTATATCAGCCAAGACAGAGAGTGTGGTTGTGCTTCTTTGTAGGGAACCTTGCTTAAGCGTCAATGCATTGAAGGATATGAATTGGGACCTGAGCCAGTGGTGTCCCTTGATCGATGATAGGTGTTTCTTGCAGTGGCTTGTTAAGGTTAGTACTTATTGCCTTCAGCTTCTGAGCTGTTATGCTTTTTATAATGTTTGTTAATTTCTTACCTTCCAAGATATTGTACTTTGTAGGTGCCATCTGAACAGGAGCAGTTGAGAGCTCGCCAAATTAGTGCTCAGCAAATAAATAAGGTAGAAGAACTTTGGAAAACAAATCCTGATGCCTCACTTGAAGATCTTGAGAAGCCTGGTGTGGATGATGAACCTCAGCCTGTAGTCTTGAAATACGAAGATGCATACCAGGTAAACTTGTTTATGTACTTTCGTACCGTGCTTATATGTGTCCCTTTCAAAGAGGCTTCTTTCTATCTTCTGTGTCCTTTTGGTTGTTTACTGATGGGCAATATAGGCTGACGGTTTTTTCTTCTGTTTTGCAGTATCAAAATGTATTTGCACCACTTATTAAGCTTGAAGCTGACTATGATAAAGTATGTATAGAGGACCGCCTTTTCTTGTGTGTGGTTCTATAGTTGTGTTTATTCTGGTCTTACACGTGGCATCTGATGTTCTTAATCTTGTGGCAGATGATGAAAGAATCTCAAAGCAAGGATAATGTCATGATTCGTTGGGATATTGGTCTTAACAAAAAGCGCGTAGCTTATTTTGTTTTCCCAAAGGTGCTTTACTATCGTTGTCTTTTTATGAGGGATTTATTCTTACTTTTGCAATGGCATTTATGCTCTCACTCGTGTTTTTAATTCTTGATGAGTAGCTCTTTTATTATTTTTATGACTTTCACATGAATTAGTTCATCATTTTGTTGTTGTAGGAGGACAATGAGTTGCGGCTTGTACCTGGAGATGAGTTGCGATTACGTTATTCTGGGGATGCCGCTCATCCAGCATGGCAATCAGTTGGGCATGTGGTATGGCTTTTCTCTTGAGATACTAACATTTATAGACTTGTAGATATGTGTATGTACTCCGTATACTGTAATGGATTTTGTTCCGCACATAACATATTGTTTTCTATACAGATCAAGTTAACTGCACAGGAGGAAGTTGCTCTTGAACTTCGTGCCAGTCAGGTAGTCATTACTTAGTCTGGCTCTTTTGTAAAGTTGTTTTTGCTGACTTGAATTCAGTGTTTAGTAATACTTGTTGTGAATTCTATATGCAGGGAGTGCCAGTTGACGTGAACCATGGTTTTAGTGTTGACTTTGTTTGGAAAAGTACAAGCTTTGATCGGATGCAGGGAGCAATGAAAACCTTTGCAGTGGATGAGACCAGTGTTAGTGGGTAAGTTAGCTGTTGTTTTTGGTGGTTGTTGGTGGAAAGCTGACATTCTTGCTCTGTTATATTTTATTTCTTCTATTAAAAACAAAAGTTGTGAGAAAATGGCCCAAGTCTTATTTGAGCGCTCTGGTCTGGATATGGTGATTGCATTTGTTGGTTATAATTAACATTAATGAGATTCATGGTTATATTACCGTCTAAGGTAAAGTGATGTTTATATGCGTCCTAGCTTGGTGTTAATTTCTCTGTTTAAAATGCTTGCTGTCTTATTGACTGATACAGATGTGTACAAATGTTATAAACCCTACCTTCTGGGCAGGTATATATACCATCACTTGTTAGGCCATGAAGTTGAGGTTCAGATGGTTCGTAACACACTACCTCGTCGTTTCGGTGCACCTGGTCTTCCAGAGCTAAATGCATCTCAAGTATGCTACCTCTTTATTCAGTTATATTTTGCCCAAATTTGAATGTAGTATGCGCAATCATAATACTTCGAGATGCTGAATATTGTTTAGATCCCTGGACAAGTTTGGTTATGGCAAAGATGTAATGTATAGAAAGGGAAAGGCTTATGCTGTAAGATTTCTTAAATCTGTGTATGTCTAGACTTATATGATGCCCATGTGTGCTATTGTTGTCCTTCGATATTAAAATAGGAAATTACAAATTAGCACAATACTCAGAGACGGGGGCCAGACTAGATGTGGTGCTCTTACCATGTTTCCTGATGTCTGGCTATATGCATTGTTGGTTGTTCCTATTTCTTTTTGTTGGCAATAATGATCTTTGAAGATTGAGGCCTTGTTAGACTTGTTAAAGCCTTTGTCAGTTTTAGTTTGGGATTTTATTGGTTCTTTACTTATCCTTGCATGACATTGAAATATAAATTTCTGCCTGGTATTGTGTTTTACTGCCCTCTTTCAAAATTGTTTTCTGAATTTGCACTTTTCTTAGAGTACAATGGTTTAATGTTCCTTCATTGGCAGGTTTTTGCTGTAAAGAGTGTTCTGCAGAAGCCTATAAGTCTCATTCAGGGCCCTCCTGGTACGGGAAAAACCGTTACTTCAGCAGCGATTGTGTATCACATGGCCAAACAAGGCCAGGGACAGGTAACTCACTAAAATGCTCCAACTTTTTTTTTCCCAGTGCTTTGTGTTTTATTGAAAGCCATTGATATCATCACTTGCGTTTATTTTTATCAGGTTTTGGTTTGTGCCCCTAGTAACGTGGCTGTAGACCAACTAGCTGAAAAGATAAGTGCTACAGGATTAAAGGTATGCAGGCAAACTTCTCTTACAGTCATACCAACTACAAAGCTCCTTTTTTGTTTTTTTGTTTTTCTTTTTTCCTGCTGTGATCTACTGGTCATCTCCTGTTTTGACCATGTGCATAGAAACATAGTGCTTTCAAATACAGATTGTACTTCCTTATTGACGCACTTTAATGCATATAAACTAGACTGTTTTGGTAAAGTTAACTTCTTTTTGAGGCTAAACTAAAAATGGCCGCCAAATTCAAATATGACTTTGAGGATCAAACCATGTTTTCTATTTTTTTAGTCGGAGTATATTATTAGATGGTCATGCTTTGTTTAAGTTGCTTAGAATTATGTACTTAGTAAATGATTCATTTACCACGTAAATTGCTATTTATTTCAAATAGTTTTAAAATATGCTATTTACTTAATTTAGTTTCAAAATTCTGCTATTTACCACAATTTTCCATTTTAATATCATTCCAATTGGTTGCCACTTTACTTACTGTTTATTTGGTCTTCACTTGTCTGCTTTTCAAACTGCTTTTTTTTTTTTTTTTTTTGTTTTATTCTAGGTTGTTAGGCTTTGTGCAAAGTCAAGAGAAGCTGTAAGTTCTCCTGTTGAGCATTTAACCCTTCACTACCAGGTTTGACCGACTTCTTTGAATATCTTTGTTATGTCTTACCTAATGGATTTCCCCTGCTTCTAGTGTGATGCATGACAATGATAATAATTTCAGGTTCGTCATCTGGACACGTCCGAAAAGAGTGAACTACACAAATTACAACAATTGAAAGATGAACAAGGTTTCTCCCTCTCTGACCTCTGTGATTGGATCAACCCATTGTAATTTCAAGGGGACCTGTGGTGTTGTGGTCCTCCACCGTCTTAAATATTCTTGCATGTTGTTTTCTGATGTTCATAAACTTTCTTCTTTTTTATTTGGTGCGGACTTTGGGTTTAACATGAAGCTGTTTGTTTGCAATATGGTTGCAGGAGAGTTGTCCAGCAGTGATGAGAAAAAATATAAAGCACTGAAGCGGGCTACGGAAAGGGAGATTTCTCAGAGTGCTGATGTCATATGTTGCACGTGTGTTGGAGCTGGAGACCCTCGATTGGCAAATTTTAGGTTCCGCCAGGTTGAATAGCATCCTTCATGAATATTTGACAAGCATCATTCAGCTTAAAGAGGCTTTTAACTCACGCATCTTTGTTTTCAGGTGCTTATTGATGAATCTACTCAGGCAACAGAACCTGAATGCCTTATTCCTCTGGTTCTTGGTGTAAAGCAGGTAATCAATTATTTGAGACCATTTCCAATATCCCTTACATTCTATTGATTCAGGTTTTGAACCACAATGTTTGCAATTTTAGGTCGTTCTTGTCGGTGATCATTGCCAGCTTGGTCCAGTGATTATGTGCAAAAAAGCAGCTCGTGCTGGGCTAGCACAATCTCTCTTTGAACGCTTAGTTCTACTTGGTGTGAAACCAATTAGGTTGCAGGTAAATGGTCCATTTGTTTTCCCCTTTGTCCATGCACAAGCATGTGCCGCATATCTATACTTGCTTTTGGTATGGTCTTGTATAGCAGCTTGATGATGCTATAGATTTGAGGGTTCATTATACTTTTCTTTTCTGATTTATAGTCGAATGGAGAAAATATTAGCCTTATTTTCTTTCTGCATAGCATTTGCTTTGTAATCACTTTCTGTTTCTAATTTGACGGAGCTTCAGAATGACAGTTTTGTGTCTTTAAAGGTTGATGGTTCTCAAGGCTGTTACAAGTCTTAAGCCTTCACCTTACCTCATTTTCTTCATTTCGGTTGAAAATCTTGCGGCAAAGTTTTTTTGTCATCCAAACATAACATTTTCCCTTCTGTGTACTCATCATACATCTTGTTGTTTAGAAATTCGAACTACTTTGATTTGAATTTTTCTTGTTTTGCTACTTGTACTCGTTTTCTTTCTCTGATAGGCTAAAAGTAATCTACTTTAAGTTTTAAGTGATTTAAAATCTAAATGATTTAAAATCCTTTTTTTTATTCCTCAAAGAAAAAAAATCATTTTTTTTTCAATTCCTTGGAAAATTGTTTCCTGTGAGTGATGTTTGTGTTTGAGAAGGGGAAAAAAAAATTGGACTTTGAACATGGGCCATTCTCTAAGGTTATGCTTGCCCAATGTCCGTCTTTTGAACAAGGACAGAAAATACTGGAGATCAATTTCTCTTAAATTTTGTCTGCCAAGTTTTTCATTATTGCTTGTTAAATAAGTTCTCAAACTTATACGTGATTCTGTGCTTGTATGTATCAGGTTCAATACCGTATGCATCCATCTCTGTCAGAATTTCCTTCTAACAGCTTCTATGAAGGGACATTGCAAAACGGAGTAACTATCAATGAAAGGCAGTCATCTGGCATTGATTTTCCTTGGCCAGTTCCCAACCGCCCTATGTTCTTTTACGTGCAGGTATACGAGTGTCATCAGATTGAATGAAACTATTTAAACTGGTTGTCTCATTGTAAAAAGAATTTTATCTCTCACGCTCTCCTTTCATTATTTTTTCCTCTCTTTGAGGTACCTTTGGATTGACTTAGCTGTATTTCAGATGGGACAAGAGGAGATAAGTGCTAGCGGAACATCTTATCTGAATAGGACCGAGGCGGCTAATGTTGAAAAGATTGTAACCACATTCTTAAGGAGTGGCGTAGTTCCTAGTCAGGTAAATCTACGATCTTCCTTTTGAATAGAGACAGTATAACCATATTCCTTTTTTTGTTTTTGTTTTTGTTTTTTTTGCCTTCTCGGTACTATGATATTGTCAATATCTCGCAGATTGGGGTCATCACTCCATACGAGGGACAAAGAGCTTATATTGTAAACTATATGTCAAGAAATGGTGCTCTGAGGCAGCAGCTTTACAAGGAAATCGAGGTAAAATGCCTTACTAAACGATGTAGATCTCATTTGATGTGTTGGTAATCGCCTTTTGGGTCATTTATTCATTTTGCTATGTGTTTTCTGCCTTAAAAGTTCTAAATCATATTATATTATTGCTAGTTAACGTTTGCTTACTGCATTTGATTTTTTTCTTTATCTCTGCTACCTCATTTATTCTTGGTACAGGTTGCAAGTGTTGATTCATTTCAGGGAAGGGAAAAAGATTACATAATCCTGTCATGTGTTCGGAGTAATGAACATCAGGTTGGTTAATTTACGTTCTTTTTTTAATTCCAAGTTTTTACTCAATTTTCTTGGTAAGCTTCACATGTAGAAACTAATACAGTTTTTCGTCCCCTGTCTGCGTTCTGGAAGTTTATGTTCATTGTCTGCTCTTAACTTTGTGCTATGCTCGCTTTTCCCTGTAAATAAACATGTTCGTAAATTTTGTATCCTTTTTTTTTTAAGTTTTCCTTGCACAAGTAGTGTCCCAAAGATAAAAGTTTACTTGGCTAAAATAGAGAGGAAAGATGCGTATTTGATTTTCCTCGTATATTTGTCTTGTTTTACTTTGTTATATGTGATTGCATGTCCTATTTAAGTAAAATGCCTGAGAAGTCCATATGTGATGATGTCTGTCTTTATGTTATAAACTACTCAGTCTATTTTAGGATTTTGACGTTAAAGATACATGATTATTTCATATTGGCTGACTGCCGGAACACTTCTCATTAGGGCATTGGATTCCTTAATGATCCGCGTAGGCTCAATGTTGCTTTAACACGTGCTCGATATGGGATTGTGATTCTTGGAAACCCAAAAGTTTTAAGTAAACAGCCGTTGTGGAATAGCTTACTGACTCACTACAAGGTAATACTAATATCTCTTCTACCAAATTTTACTTTTGAGGTCAAAGTACCATTAGTTTAGTGCTCTAGAGAAAGGTGTGCTGGAGGAGAAGTGAACTGGCTCATTATTAACAAGTTTGTTCCTATTATTACGTCAGGAACATGAGTGCTTGGTTGAAGGGCCTCTAAATAACCTGAAGCAGAGTATGGTCCAATTTCAAAAGCCTAAAAAGGTACGGTATTCAGTCACAACAGGAAATAAATTGTTTTCATTTGTACTTTGAGTCTTGAATTTTGTTTCTGAGGAAAGGGGGGATTTTGATGTTCTATTTCTTCTGTTGAAAGCATTTCTAGACTATGAATGTGGATTTGTATCATTGTTGTTTCTGTGTTTATGCAGATATATAATGATCGTCGTCTTTTCTTTGGTGGTGGTCCTGGAGTTGTGCCTAGTGATAATTATGCATCTGTTTCCCCTTCTAACCAAAATACTGAAAGAAGAAGCAGTCGTGGTAGGGGTATGTTGATGCTTGCATATCTTTGACCTTTTTGTTACAATAGTTTTTCAACATGCTCTTAGGATCTTGTGAGTGTTGAGTTATAGGCTGGGAATTTAACCATAAAACCCAAAATGCTCGTTTAATGTTGATTTTGTATTCAAATTTGATTTAAGATAAAAATAACTTTATGCTAAATGTAGGTTCTTACATACCTCCTGCACCACCCAATGGAACCCATAAGCCTGGCTTGCATCCTGCTGGGTATCCAATGCCTCGAGTACCCCTTCCACCATTTCCTGGTGGCCCTGCTTCTCAACCATATGCTATTCCAACTCGTGGAGCTGTACATGGACCAGTTGGAGCAGTGCCTCATGTTCCCCAGCCTGGGACCCGAGGTTTCGGTGCTGGACGTGGCAATGCTGGTGCTCCTATTGGCAGTCATCTTCCCCACCAGCAAGGGACTCAGCAACCTATTGGAAATATTGGATCCACCTTTAATTTCCCCTCTTTGGAAAATCCAAATAGTCAGCCATCCGTGGGTGGTCCATTATCTCAACCTGGATTTGTTAATAATGTCAGTATTACTGCTTTGCTTTTTTCCTTTTTGTTCCTGATCGTATTTCTTTACCTTTTGTTGTTTTGTCTTAGAGTATGTTGGTTTTATGTGACAGATGCCAGTTCAAGCGGCAACCCAAAATTTTAGGGATGGATTTTCCATGGCTGGCATGTCTCAGGTATATTGTTTTTTCAATAAATATCCGATATTTGCCTTTTTATTAATTTATTTATGCTACTGGTTTTCATTTCTGAATGTCTTTCGAAAACTGTGTTCAGGACTTCTTGGGTGATGACTTTAAGAGTCAGGGATCACATGTTCCTTATAATGTTGCTGACTTCAATACTCAGGTATGAATTTGCAAACCTTTTACTAAAGTTTCATGCATACAATTATTTGTTAATCATTGAAAATAGGGATCAATTACTTGTCTGCTATCATCTTTCAGGCCTAGTTTAGATATCGTTTCAGGTTCATATGATAAGTAGTTGGGGAGTTTAATATATTTGATATGGCTGTTAGAAGGTTTTGTAAGATGATGTTAACACTTCCCACCATTCAAATCACAACTGAAGTTTTTGCTACCATGTTTTCTCACAAATATTCAAATTCAACTTTTTCTGCTACAATATTTTCTCTTACATGAATTTACCTTTTCACTCAAATTCTTAACTCGAATGAGCAAAATGAACGAAGCCTTATTTTTCTTGATTTATTAACATTGGTGCTCTGCAGGCTTCTCAAAGTGGATATGGTGTTGATTATGTCACACAAGGAGCACAAGGTGCCTTTCCAGGAAACTTTCTGAACCAGAGCTCTCAGGCTGGCTATTCTCGCTTTGGTAGTGGGAATGACTTCATGTCTCAGGTCCCTCAAATTCCTCTTTTTTTTTTTTGATTGTTTTTTTGGACGTCTTTCTGGCATTCTTTTTTTTTTTTTTTTTTTTTTTTTTTTTCCTCTTCACGTTCCCATAAATTTCTTTGTTTCAGGACTATATGGCTCATGGATCACAAGGTTTGTTTACTCAAGTTTGCATGAATGATCCATCTCAAGATGATGCATCACAGAGCCACTATGGTGTGGCCAATGCCAATCAACTTCAGTCTCAGGTTTTTGCTTCCGCCAATGCCTGGTTTATATGGAGTTTAATACTGTTTCCTGCAGAACATGCCGCCACCCCGCAAAGTGTTTGACAATGTCCTAATTGTATTGTATTTGCAGGGCTTTATGAATTCTCTATATTCTCAGCCCTTCACCCATTACAACACACAGCCAATGAACTTGCAGGCCCCACAGCAGCAGCCTCAGCAGAGCCAGAGCTCTCAAAATCAGAAAATCCACTACAATGGTTGAAGTGACCATAGGGAATAATTGATGTGATGGGTTATAGTCTTTGCATTCAGCAACTCCAGTTGTGCTTTCTTGTGTGCCTGAATTACGTGCCCTGAAGTGCGGAAAGGATTGCTGTTTTGAGGTCAGTTTAGTTATCTATCTCCGTTACCCATATAGGTGACATACTTTTTGGGTGTTGGAATAAGATTTGCACGACTGGGGCAAAAATGACCAAGGGTATTTTTGAGTGAAGCACAAGCGGCACATCTGGGGCTGAGAAAGAAAATGATAACCCTGATTACGTGCTTGGATGTTTTGTGTTGAGGAAAAGACTTGAGAACTTCTTAGAGGATGAGAGCATTACATGGCATGGTTTTGGCGAAAGGGTTTCGGACACTGGAATAGGCGGGGGGCTATTTAAATTGTGACTCGCAGGGAAAGACCCAATTCTTCATACAGATAAAGGAGTTTACAGAAAAAGGAAAATTTTTGTACAGCATGCCGGAAAAGGTCGCCTATAACCCTTTTAGCTCTTCCTAACATGTAATTATACTCTTAACGTCGTGATTAAATAGAGCGTTAATATACCTTAACAGAGTGGTTATTTGGTAGAAACAGAACCCTTGGTGGTATATGAAAGTGTGACATTGGTTTTTATGTCTAGTTAGTTTTGCTTAAATGTTGATGTCCCTGACGAGTTCCTCACTTCATATTGCTTTCTGCTTTTTGTTGTTCGTTTAGAATGCTAACTCGGTGTAGTTTGAATTCCCTTATTCATTGGCGAAAGCGGGTTGCAGATCTTTAATTTGAAATCTTTTCTATCTCGAGTTTTTATACCCCTTTTTCAATTTTATTTTTTATTTTAAAATATTTTTGACTTTGATGTTTTGGTTTCCGTTTCCAACCAAGTTGAAGTTGTTTTTGTCAAAGGATCGACCAAGGTGGGTCAATTAGAGGGGGAAGTCGATATTTTTCACTGAAAAAGAAAGTAAATATGTTGATAAGGTTTATGGCTAAAAACTTGACAAGAAAAATGTCAGTGGGATAGACAGGGATCGAACCTGCCATGAGCCTTGCAAACTCTATCCCCCAATCCAATTAAGATCAATATAAAAATCTAATAACATGTATAGTTGCTGTAAGAAAGAGCAAAAGCAACATCGGGGCCCAGAACATGCTTCTTTTTGTGTGGTATAGCTCTGAACTTCAGTGTCAGCAACTACATTCTTTCTGGTGGGCAGTAGTGTAGGGTGCCTACGAATGCAGAGCTGAGCCATCTCCTGCTACTTGCGTGGCTACTTATCAGCCTGTAGCTTGAAGAAGGATCAAGAAAGTCACCATCGGAAGTTGTAGTTCGCTGGAACCTCTAGTGGTGGAATTCACTGCTCGGTGAAAGAACCAAAGTCAGTAGCATTCATCTGTTCTCGGAAGGGGGCGTAGTTCACCAACCTCAGAAAAACATCAAGCTTTCCCTTCATTTGTTTGTGCCCTTTGATTGAGTTCTTTTAAAAGACCCAACGGATCCCCCAAGGGGCGTGTCTAACTACCTCATAGATAGCATCCACAAGACACTAAATTAGCCTAGAAATGGGTGCATTCTATGGCTAAAAACTTGACAAGAAAAATGTACTTAAATTCAATTTATAATACACTACCTAAAACTAAAACGGGACAACTTATAAGCAAGTAATCTTAATATTTTGATACTCTATGGTTTAGGTAAGTAGATGTTAGTTCATAGAACTCTTGCAATTAAACGTCACAAAAAATAGCATTTAATGAAAAAATGACAAGTTGAACTAAAATTAGAATTAAAATTGATGTTCCTAAATATGTATTTCTCTATGAGGAATTAGAAGGCACTCTTTTTCTTCTTTGGGTGTTGTTGGTGGCTTGCAAATGAGAAAAGTTAATTATCCTGTATGAAAGTATTGATTTATCGGGTGTTCAGGTCATTTTACCAATTTAAAACTTCAAAGATTAAAAAAAAGAGATATTTTATGATATGTCTGACGTAACGGTATGTTAAGTTTTTTTAACCGTTAAATTTATAAATTTTTTAATTTTTACATAATTTTATGAAGATTTAACAGATAAAAAACTTAACTTACTGATATATTTACGTGCCGGATAAGGTTCCTAAAAAATGAAAACGGTACAAAATTTCAAAACCCCCCGAGATTCCAACTAGGCCTTTGGCTCTCGGTTTTCTTTCAAGTGAAAAAAAAAAAAAAGAAAAAGAAAAAGAAAAAACCGTTAAAATCTTTGCCTCCAAAATCCTTTCAACTCAAAGCTCCAAGGTCCGCCACGTGGCCATCTTCCTCATCCGGCAATGCCAAACTGTAAACCGCAAACGACCCCAACTCCATCCCCTCGTTTCCCTCCGCCGAGCTCCGGAGTCCACTCGCCAACTCAACGATTCCAAACCCCTCCTTCTCCAACTCGCTCAGACACTCAGCCGTCCACGGCCTCACTTCCGTCGCCGCCCAAATCATCGTCCCTCTCCGCCGGCACACCGTCCTCAGAGTCCTCCCCAGCGCCGCCATTTCCTCCGCGTCGAAAAACACGTCCGACATCAGAACCACATCGAACTCGCCGATTCTACTCAGCGACTCCTCCGATCCCCACACGAGTTCCCTCACCTCGACTCGGTCCCCGAGCCCGTTCGCCTCAACGTTCTTCCTCAGCCCCGGGAGCAGCGCGACGACGTCTGTCAGCACCACGCGGCTCGCTCCGAGCAGAGCCGCCGTCAGCCCCGGGAGGCCGGCGCCGGCGCCGAGCTCGATGACGGACTTGCCGAAGAATATGGGGAATTGGTCCTGGCCGAGGCGGAAGTGTGACGTCATGGTCTCGGCGAGGACGAGGGCGGAGTGCCAGACCCACGCGCCGGTGAGGGCGCGTCCGGTGGCGGAGTCGCAAAGGTCGTCGAGATCGAAGACGGTGAGGGGTTTGTCTCCGACTTGGAATTGTTGGAAACCCATTTGGAATTTGGGTTTGACTTTTGAGTAGTAATAGACATTGGCGTTGCGTTGTTTTGATAGAGAGGATTGTTTTGTTGCGACTTGTGGTTGTATATTATATTCTTGTCATCGGTGGTGGTGGGTGTCCATGCCACTCAAGAACACACAGTCCAATATTCCTTTGCACGGTTAGTTTATAGATTTTTATAAGAATTAGAATTATGAATTATTTTTTATGAAAAAAAAATATTATAAAAAATTATAAATTATAATTTAAATCATGACACGAATCATTAATCTAAATAATTTAAATACAGCGTAAATCTTCTCGTTCTTTGTTATCTCTTTTTTAAAATAATAATAATAATAATATAGAAAAGTATTGTTTGGTTTATAACCCATTTTGTAAGGAGGAAGTTTCACGGTAGGAATCTACTGCTTAATCGTAATTAACTTTTCAAAAATTAACGGTTTGATCTATAACTAAACACAGTTCTATTTTCTATGTAGCTTTGCAGGAGTTATATTTGTATTTCATAATCACACGTGACAAACGTGAGCAGTTAGTTACAGCCTATAACAGACAGACTATAACAAACTGGCTAACAGACTTAGAATATCTCTAATGCAATGTTATAAATAATGTGTCAATTATAAATTTAATATTTAAATGTAAAAAGCACTCTTTCATATCAAATTTTTATATACTAAATATACAATTAACATTAATATTTATATTAAAAATGATCTTATTACATAAAAATCATGATCTAACTAATCTCTGCCACATCAGCACTATGATCAGATGCTTCAATAGTGAAGGTCAGGCGGCGACTTTTCTAGTGGGAGATGGTTGCTGCGTTTGAGTTTAAAGGTCCGTTCATTTTACCGATTCGAGTTTAGAATTTGAGTTTTGATACAGTAAAAAGCTCTCAGAAATAGTCACATTTAACTTTTTTATTACAGTAAAAAGCTCACATAAAGTCATATCTTAACTCAAATTAAAAATTTGAATCAGCGAACTAAACGGACCCTAAGTGTATTTTGCACATTGGCCTTCCTAATCTTGTCGGGTTTTGGCAAATTGGCCTTTAAACCTCTATTTTTGGCAATATGTTATGCGATTTGTAAAATTATTGCAGGGCCTGTTTGGAAGAGTTTCTTAAAACTGTTTTGGTTTCCTTGCTTCAAAAGCTGTTTTTAGAAATGGTTGGATAATTTGTCAAAAACGCTTATGCTTTTCATAAGAGTTTGCAGTCAAAGCAAAACAATGTAACTTCTAAAAAAAGTACTTATAAATAGATTTTAAATTTTTAAAACTTGTACTAAAGTTTCATTAAGACATTATAAACTTTATTTTAACACTTTTATTGCTTAGAAATTTTAAAATTTATTTCAATTCATTAATTTATTTTATTCCAAACACTCAACTTTTACTTCTATTTTTCTATTGACAAAAAATAAAAGTAAAAGCTCTGTCAAACAGGCCTGCAATGTCTTTTATGTTGCTAATTTTGATGCCTCTCTTTTTGTGTGTGTGTGTGAATTTGACGGATTGTGAGTTAGAAAATTGAAATATTTGTATTATTATTATTATTATGTTGATCTTGCTTTTCTGTCACTAATTTAACACAATTATTATTAAAATTATCACATTGTAATAATTTTATAAGTTGGAGAATAAATTATCAAAGTTGAAAGTTTACGATGCAAGTTATCAAAACTCTACAAGTTCAAGGGACAAATGCACAAAAATACCTAAATTTCAATAACATATTAGGATTCACCGCAGACAGTCTAAGTGCGATCTGGGCTAAATTGGGACTTGTTAAAAAAAAAACACTTTAGAAACCATATAAAAAGTAAAACATATATTTTTAAAGGTAATTTTGTGGCTATTCTTTTAATGTGTTTAATTGACTCAACTTACAAACTTTTTAAGCTAAAAAAATTATCAAATAGCAAACATAATTCATATTTAAGAAAATCCAATTGCCTATATAAAAAACAAGTATAATGCATGGCTGGAGGGGCAACTTACAAAAAGATGGTTTGGGAAAAACTCAAACTGGAGATTGCCCGTTATGCATGGTGGGGGTGGGCATTTGAACTCACAGTTTGTGATTTGATGACGTGGCACACAAAATGACAGGGTTGGGCGGCGGGATGGTTTGGTGATTTTTTTTAAGGTAGTACTTAAGCTCACAACAATGTGGGGCTATTAGTATATTTGTACTATTTCTTTTTTTTTTAATCTCAATATTGGTACTATTTCTTAAAACAGAGTGATCATGCATGCTTTATGCTATAAATACAGAAGTGTTGATGGTGTAAAATTGCCAAACAAACTTACCCACATTGATTTTTAACGTATGAATAGTAAAATAAATTACCAAAAAATAGAGACACAATAATCTAAATTGGTTCACCTCAACCTAATTTTTACGTCCATTATAGCGCCAAGGGTTGGATTTTTTAAACAATGGTGGAAGTGATTAAATCATTATTATTATTATGAAAGAAAAGAGATGGTCTAAACTTAAGATTTAAGAACACACGTACTCAAAGTCAAATTATTATTTGACTAAAGTGTTTTCCTCTCATATAAAATTTGAATTTTAAACATCAGAATCAAGAATTATAATTTGAGTATACATTCTAAACATGCCCTATATATTTTTCGTTATGTTAATTATCTTCTTATGCTTCTTCACATAATTCTTTAGAACAGTTAATTATCACTACAGGAAAAAGGGGTTTTTGCGACGACAAATGTCGTCGCAAAAACCTGAATGTCATCGCAAATAAACTTTTTTGCGACGACAAGTCGTCGCAAATTTGTCGGCGCAAAAAATTGGTCGCAAAAACATTTTTTGCGACGACATAGTGTCGTCGCAAATAAATTTGCGACGACACTCTATATTTGCAACGACAGGCGTCGCTAATACGTCGTTGTAAAATTCTCGTCATATAATCATTTTTTGTGACGACATTTCAAATTGCCGTCGCAAATACTCTTATTTTTTAGCGACGACAAGTCTAAAAAAGTCGTCACAAAAAACCGAAATTAATAAATGCCCGCCGCGCACGCGCCCGTGCCCCCTCCCCCGCGCGCGCGCCGGACGCACCATTGCCACCCTACGATGCCCCAGCTCCTGCACAAATTTTCCATAATTTTTAGAAACAGCAAAGAAATTATATTTAAAATCGATAGGAATAAAAACGAACCAGAAAGATACCTCACTAAGGGAAGAGAGAGAGAGAGAGAGAAGAAGAGAGAGGAGTGGCGGGGGCGGGGTGGCGGGAGCGGCGGCGACGGCCGGAGAGGGGAAGAAAAGAGAGAGAATGGAAGAGAGAGAGAGAAGGGAAGAGAGAGAGATAGAAGAAGAAGGGAAGAGAGAGAGATAGAAGAAGAAGGGAAGAGAGAGAGAAGAGGGCCGGTGGTGACGGGCAGCGGCGGCAGCGAGGGGAAGAAGAGGCAGAGAGAGAGAGACTTAGCAGGAGAGAGAGATAGAAAGCGGCGGGAGAAAATGAAGAGGAAAAAGATAAGGTATATTAGATCAGACTTATTTACGACGACATTGTCGTCGCAAATAAGTTTAAATGTCATCGCAAATAATCATTAATTCTCGCGTTTAGTTTTTTGGTGAAATCTTGAAAAGATTATTTGCGACGACAAAGAGAAAAAGTCGTCGCAAATAATATGAAATTATTTGCAACGACAAAGTCGTCGCAAATAATTTCATGTTATTTGCGACGACTTTTTCTCTTTGTCGTCGCAAATAATCTTTTCAAGATTTCACCAAAAACCTCATCGCGGGAAAAATGGTTATTTGCTACGACATTTTCCATTTATTTGCGACGACAAAGTCGTCGCAAATAATTTCATGTTATTTGCGACGACTTTTTCTCTTTGTCGTCGCAAATAATCTTTTCAAGATTTCACCAAAAACCTCATCGCGGGAAAAATGGTTATTTGCTACGACATTTTCCATTTATTTGCGACGACAAAGTCGTCGCAAATAATTTCATGTTATTTGCGACGACTTTTTCTCTTTGTCGTCGCAAATAATCTTTTCAAGATTTCACCAAAAACCTCATCGCGGGAAAAATGGTTATTTGCTACGACATTTTCCATTTATTTGCGACGACAAAGTCGTCGCAAATAATTTCATGTTATTTGCGACGACTTTTTCTCTTTGTCGTCGCAAATAATCTTTTCAAGATTTCACCAAAAACCTCATCGCGGGAAAAATGGTTATTTGCTACGACATTTTCCATTTATTTGCGACGACAAAGTCGTCGCAAATAAAGGGAAAATGTCGTCGCAAAAAATGGATTACCTTGGCGGGAAAAATTCGCACCATTAAAATTTGCGCTCTAAAATTATTTGCGACGACATTTTCCATTTATTTGCGACGACAAAGTCGTCGCAAATAAAGGGAAAATGTCGTCGCAAAAAATGGATTACCTTGGCGGCAAAAATCCGCACCATTAAAATTTGCGCTCTAAAATTATTTGCGACGACATTTAGGTTATTAGCGATGATATGATTATTTTTTTAAACGGAGAGTAATTGCGACGACATGTCGTCAAAAATATTTTATTATTTACGACGACATTTGTCGTCGCAAAAAATGTCGTCGCAAATGGCCTTTTTTGTTGTAGTGTATCGTAGGAGATATTTCACAAATTTTTTTTAATAGTATTACAGTAAGAAATGATTTATTGAAAATGAGAAAAATGAGAGACCTCCTAAACGATCTAATACCGTGGTTGATGGAACACTAACCATTTATTTGGGATTTTTCCTGTCGCTCATATGTTTCATTTCTCTCACATCACAAAATGTCACAAGGCCTAAGGATATTGCTATTAATCAGTAAATTGGTTAACCATAGCAAATTTTTTTTGACTAATACTTTGTTACGTTTTCATTCATAATATGACCTAATATGATGTTCATGATACTACAACTTAACCGTGAAGTAACTAATAATATACGACCCGAAAAACCTACAATGTGACAACTACAATTATTGTCAAAAATTATTTTTTATTCTTTATTTTTGAAAGCAACTCGAGACTCGAATTATTGTGATCAGTACCATGGAGTAGCAATACTTTTTCTCTCTGAAAATACTATTAATATATTTTAAAATAAAAAAGAAAATACTTTTAATATAGCACGGTCTCAAAATGATTTTACCCATAATGCATTAATTAACGTGTGAAAAACGGGAAGGAAAAAAAGGTCGGGACTCGAGGAAAAAAAAAAAAAAAACTCCAAACAGAAGTCACGTGATTAAGCACGTGCTTTCATGGGATGCTGTGTAGGCTGCACTCAAATGCTTTGCTGCACGTTAGGACATCGGGAAAAGCGTTCGACAGCTTGGAGCGGGAGCGGGAGCGTGGGACCCACATGCTCAAGGAAAAAGGGCGAATGAAAACGGTTGGAGAAGTTGTACAGATGTACCAATGTATATTAACACTGTTCATGTGGCAAATAACAGTTTTACCCTTTAGGATGCAAGATCATGTTATTACTAACGTGTGAGTAGTTTGATTATTTTTATATTTTGATTATTTTTTTCCAAAAAAATACAGAAATAAGTAGTTTTTTAGTGACCTTTTTTTTTTTTTCTGTTCATCTTAATTTCCTTACTTACTAAAAATCTAATTTCCTTTTGTTTTATTGTAAACAAAACTTATTTTATTTTATTTGAAGAATTTTTTGGCAAGATGTGAAAAAACAAATGATGAATAATACTTTCTTTCTTAGGATTTTGATATAAATTTGGAGCACAATTTCTCGTGAAAATTTAATAAATTTACCCCAAATAATATTGTAATACCCAGTTCATGGCCTATTTTTCTTAATAATAACTAGTCTGTGAAGTGAGCTACTATTTTTCAAATTAAAGATGTTATCATATCTATTATAGAAAGTTTTGATATAAATTTTGAAAAGTTGGAATGTTTCCTATTTTTTCTTAACCAAACATACTACAAAAGGTTCTTTGCAAAATTTTGTGCAATAATCTCTAGTAGTGAGCTTCAAATTGTTAAAGAAAATTACATAAAAAAATGAAAAATACATGATTTCTTTACATAAGAAAACTATGATCCTTTCTTAAATGGGGCACACCGTGGACAAATTACAAAAACTTAATTTTTTTGAAGGAAGATGGGCTTATCGGAGGGGGGAGGGGCGGGGGACCAATTTTAAAGAATTTTTTAAAAGAAATATTTTAAGGATATTATTAAACTTGTAATTTTTATAAATTTCCATTATTGATTACAATGTATTAAAGAAAAAGAGAAAGTGGATAAGGTACAATAATGTACTAGAGAACATATTAAAACAAAAAAAAAACCACTAGAAACCAAAGCGTAGTAGGTGAAGTGAAGATTAGGTTAGTTAAGCAATTAGAAAAAGAAGTTCAACCCGTTTATGATTTTCTTTAATTCAAATTCACCCGTTAAAAATGACTGGATATGATGTGATCTTAGTTTAATGGATGAGATGAGCGGTTTATTTTCATATGCTAACTAATTGAAATCGTGAATATATGCACGCAAGATTCTATAAATAAGAATAAAAAATATATTTATTAAAATCTTATTTGGAGAGAAAAAAAAAAGAAAGAATATATAATAAGACAAACAAAATAATAATGAAAAGAAGGAGAAGACAGAAAAAGAAAATAGATAGGAAAAATGAAAGAAAGTAAAAGAAAAAATCAACTTACGAGACGTTTTGCAAATATAGGAAGAGAGTTTAAAAAAAATTTGTATGAAAAGAGATTACTTAAAAAACTCATTTTAAAAAAAATGTTAGAAGAAAAAAGCAAAGAGAAGGAAAAAAAGAGGACACAAACCAAAAGTACAAAGAAAGAAAAAAAACATAAAAAAGAAAATTGAGAAATGCATTTCGTTAGCAAACACATTCTCTCTTAATAATTACGTGAAAGATAAATATTTGTTGATAAAATATTTAGGATAAAATATTTCCATAAATATAATACATTTGTAAACATAAATCACGTCAAAATGGCATCAAAATTAGGTCTACTTTAAAAAATTAGATATTATATAAATCTAATAGATTTAATTAAAATCCTAAGATCTTTGACGGTCCAGGAAATGAATTATTTGTAACATTAAAATAAACACCCGTTTGACTATTTCTAAATAAGACAAAAAAAGAATCTTAATTTACATTGTCCATAATAAAACTACTTTCGTACGTGTAAACTTATCAACCGATAGTGTGTCACAAATCAGCTTTCGTTTTTCACCCTCATTTCATTAATTAAAAGGGCCAATAAAAACGTAATCACCTAGGGCAATCTCGTAATATAGCGGCGAAAAGAAGGGTATTAAAGGAAAGGAAGTTCCAATCATACGTACAGTTTTTTCACACGCGTTAATCTTCACTGCAGTCCAGCTATGCAGACGTTGGTTCGACTCGTAGCCTCTTTCTCTCACTCTCACTCTCTCTCTTCTCCGACTCTTTCGATTATTATTTAAAGCTAAAAAAAAAAAACGGAAAAGGAAAAGCAAAGGCAAAAGCAAAGAGACAAAGCGGAAACCATTTCCCCCCCAGATTCTTACCACGATTGAGAAAGTGTCTTCGACAGCGAAGCGTCTTCCTTCACCACCTCCAGATTCAGCTCAATTCTCCAGTGCCGTGATTTTCTCGCTCCTTTTCCGGCTTGCCAAACGGTAATGTTTTTTTTTAATACTCTGTTTTGCTTTGATTTCGCGGTTGTTGATCGGAGTAGTTTGAGATTTTGAAGCATCGGATGAGACTGTGGTGAGTTTGAAGTTTGAAGCTCGATTTTTGTTCGTGAAATGTGGAGATTGGAAATTGAAAGTGGCCGATCTCTTGCCTGTTTTTATTCTTTCTGGTTTTTTCTTTTTTGTTTTTTTATTGCTCTGTTTTTTTTTTTCGATTGATGTGTATGTATGCGTGTGTATATACTGTATTTGTATATATATATATATATATATATAGGAAGTGAGTTCGTCGGCATTACATGCTGGACTGGATTTTTTTATTTTTTGCTTGGATGATTCTTCAATTGGTTTTGGTTTGAGCATCGGAGTTGTGTTTGAGTTTGATCAATGCCGTGGAGAGAAAATTACTAAAAGTTTGTGTTTGCACATGGAATTGTGAAAAGAAAAGAGAAGAAAAAGGGATTGATATATGCTTTTGCAGTATAATGTATAAGCAAAGAGTTTGTATGTAAGTGTAAGCCATAATTCTGATAAAGGATTTCTTGAAGTAGCTTCATAATAATTGGACTCAAGTTCAATACTTCTAATCCTTAAGGACACAAATTTTGTGTATGTTCTCCGCTTTTGGGTGCTGAACAGACTAGCGGTATTAGGAATTGGACATGGCTTGCTAGGTGGAATGGACAAGAAGACAGTTAATCTTTATGAGTAACATAATCAAAAGTGAAGATTAAGCAGCTGAATAGTTGAAAAATACGTGTAACAGTGTCTGTAACAGTTCTGATATAGTTGGACTCATCACTCACGTTGACCAGCTAGTTTCTAGAGTAGTTGGAATTATATTCTATAAAAGAAAGAACAGACTTCTAGTCAAACTATACCTGACACTATCCTTTGTAGTGGTACATTTATTGGTTCTCTTTACCTCTATTTTTTTGTTTTGGTTCACCGGTTTTTTCCGTGGGAAATTTTTGTTAAGATTAGGTAAATTTTTGGAGGTCAATCTGACACTGTGGATTTAAGTGCTATTTGGAAAGGAAGATTCTTATCCACCATATTTGATCATATTGTTTATCTTACATTTATTTTTTCGTTTAGTTGCAGATAAGATTCAATACATATGACAGCAGGAATGTTAAAATGGTGAAACAATCATTGTAGCTGATCACACACTGAGGAAGTCAATATTTTGGTAGTAATTGTACAACGCCACTGCTTGGTTTGACAAGTTGAAAATACTGGATTCAAGTGCAGTTCCTCATGTATATAAACGATTTTTTTGAATTTGATCTCCGTGAGTGCTGATGCATCCTTCACCAAGTCAAAAATATCTTTGGTGGTTCACTCTGGTGGGATATCTCTATATATTTACCCCTTCTTTTAGTTCAGTTCAGTATGCAAGCCAAGACACAAGATTGGACAAATGGTCACCTGACTCTCAGTTACATATTCATGATGGTTCTCAAATCAGCACCACAATCCATAAGCAAGTTCCAACTTTATCATCCTCATTATTCGATTCAGTGTCTTGTGAAGACCTAGAAGGTGTTGGGTCACTTAACACCACCTGTTTGCTACATTCAAACTTAAACTGGGATTCCGATCTCTATGTATATGGTACTGGAAACCTGGAGATACTCTCTGATGTGTCCATTGTGTGCCCCATTGAGGGCTGTACAATTACATTTAACTTGTCTGGCAATGTTAATATTGGCCAGAATGCAACAGTTGTTGCCGGTTCTGTAGTTTTCTTAGCTTCCAATCTGACTATGGGTTATAATTCTTCTATAAATACAACATCATTGGGAGGCTTACCACCTTCCCAAACTAGTGGCACACCAGTTGGCTATGAAGGTGCCGGTGGAGGACATGGTGGTCGTGGTGCTTCTTGTGTGAAAAATAATAAGACAAGTTTTTGGGGTGGTGATGTGTATGCTTGGTCTTCATTGTCTGAGCCATGGAGTTATGGGAGTAAGGGTGGCAGAACATCTCCTGATACTCCATATGGAGGGAATGGTGGAGGGCGTGTTAAACTTTTAGTAAAGGATATGCTATATATCAATGGGTCTGTAACTGCAGAAGGTGGTTTTGGAGGGTCAGCTGGTGGAGGAGGATCCGGTGGAAGTATATTTGTGCATGCTGTAAAGCTGTGAGTATACACTTCCCTGTTCATTCTAATCCCATTCTTGTAGAACTACATAGTTTAGAAGTTACACTACTGAACTTATGGTGGTGTCAAGAGTGATTGAACTATTCTCTCTGTCCTGAATCTTCTCTCTTGAAAATATACCATCAAATATTCACTTTAGTGGCGTGCATTGAAATTTTCCATAGAACTGTTGATGCTAAATGATGCAATTAATTTTCCTGCATTTATTCATCACGGACCACCCATTATCAGATATGGTATTGTAAGCATTGTAGATACTACAGTCCACATTTTAAGTTCCATCCTAAATTTTTTGGCATTGTGTCCTGTCACATAGGAAGGGATATGGAACTATAAGTGCAGCTGGTGGGACTGGATGGGGTGGAGGTGGTGGTGGAAGAATCTCTCTGGATTGTTACAGCATACAAGATGATCTAAAAGTTACAGTGCGTGGTTCGTATCAATTAAACATCTGTATCTGGTAGTTGAGCCCAGGATTACTAAAGTTCTAAATATCTGATTGTTTCCCTCTAATATTGCTAAAAATTGCAATTATCTGAAATTGTCAACTTTGTGGATAAATCTTAATGCTTAAATTACCAACAACTATGAAACAATTTCATTGGAAGTACCTAAAGAAAACTTCTTGGTGGCTGAAACTCTAATATAGTTTTTAGTTTTGGTTCTTAACCCGAATAAGTGAAATTGTCAAATGCTAGTTAGTATGGACTTTTTTTCTTTGATTTCTGTATGACTTTGCCTAAAAGAATAACTACAAAATGAACCATGTTTCTTTATGTCTATAATCCATACTTAAGAGTTAAAAACTGGCCAAATAAGAAATATGTCATTTAATTTTTGAACTACACCCTTCTTACTTTGTGCTCTCTTTATTTTGACTACCCTTAGAAGCACTGCTTGTGAACGCTTTAACCTTATCCAAAATAAAATCGATAGTGTACGCTCGATAATATCCTCATTTGGATTCCTTCTTGTAAGTTCTGATAGTTATCCTTCTACTTTAGTTTCCTGCTCTCAAGCTATCTCTGTGGTTCTTTACCTTTTTACTTTTCAATTACCCTTCTAAGAAAATTGTGTGCATGTTTCCTTTCTTTTTGGCCTATATGACACTATTTTGGGATTTAGGGTTCATTAGCTGCAAATAAAAAGTAGGCATAGAAGGAAAGAAATTACCTTTGGCTTATTTGGGAGTTTACCAAATCATACCAAACTTGGTTATCTTGAGATTGTCGAAGATGAATACAACAATGGTTGTCTTTTCTGATGTTATGCTTGTAGTTATAATCGTCTCCCCCATGAAGTGCAACTCTGCATGATATGCTTTTCTTGTTCCAGGTGGTTTGAGTATAGGTTGTCCGGTGAATGCTGGAGCAGCTGGAACCTATTTTAATGCAGATTTACTTAGTCTAAGAGTTGGTAATGACAATGTCACAACAGAAAGCGAAACCCCTCTGCTCGATTTTCCCACCAGCCCATTATGGTCACATGTTTTTGTGGAGAATAATGCTAAAGTATTGGTTCCACTACTATGGACCAGAGTTCAGGTTGCCAAAATTTCTTCTCATCTATTATTTTTTATTTCATGAGTTAATTAAATTTCTTGTTCGTGTTATATTGTATAAGAGTGTGCTACTAGGGGTTTGTTTCATCTAGACACTGTTTCCTGAAGCTGCCTTTTGTTTTGGTTTTTCATTTTATTTATTTACTTTTTCCTTTTTTGGGATGCATTCCGTAGTGGCTTTGGAGCATTTCTTATGTTGGTTTATCTTATTATTATTTTTTTCCCCTAATAAACTGCTTTGTTGATGGTTGATACTGGAAGGAAGCAGTACAAAGGAAAGAGGACAAGAGTCCTCAAGAAAACAAAAACCAGAAAAGAAAAGAAACAGAAACTGAAAAGATAGGAATAAAAAACCACCAAAGAACCCCCAATCTCCTAAGATCTAATCACCCTATTACATATTTTGAAATCAGAACATCTAAGAAAATGGAAAGTCTTCAAAGGCTTTGCAGTTAAGGCCTAAAAAGGACCTAGGTATTTTTCTTTAAGATTAAAGAACTTGGAAGTGGACTCTTTTTATTTGCATTACTTTCTTTCTTTGGATAGAGATACTCACTGCAGTAACTGCCCTTGAATTATTCATAGATTAGGCTAAAATTGTTTGCATTTTAGACCTTTTATTTTGCTTTCATGTTTATGGTTTATTTCGTATATCTGTCTTGACCCATATTTATTTTCTTCTCCTTTGGGAGGGGTTTGAAGAGAGCGGATGTTATTTTTTGTTTTTATTATTATTTTTTTTTAAGATGGGGAGAGTAGAACTTATATCCATGTCTTTCTGCATTATTAATTTTCACATTAGTCTTTTTGTACATTGTTACGGAATACCTTATATTGAAATGTAATTTATGGGATGCGTCCTTAATCTTTTTATTATGTAGGTGAGAGGACAAATTAGTCTATACCGTGGAGGCAGTATCATTTTTGGATTATCAAACTACCCCATCTCAGAATTTGAGCTTGTTGCCGAAGAACTGTTGATGAGCGATTCCACTATAAAGGTTAGTTGCACTTCCAACTCCCACTATCTTCCTCGTTTAACTGTTCAGGACCTGTATCCACTATTTATCAAATATAATGAGGCTGAAACAAGCTAAATGCAAAATGAGCAATGACATGTTGTCTTGTTGGACCAGCATAATTAAACATCAACCAAGATCAAATTGAACAAATTTAAGACAAGCAGCAATCAGAATCAAGAAACTCCACTATAATTCTCTTGGCTTGGGTCTGGCAAAAGAAACTCCCAACTGTAATGAAGCATACATTCAAGTAAAATTCGTATTTGTATATAAAACATATAGACTGGGAGCTCAAAATAAAACCGGCAGTATTTTCGTAAAAGGAAGATTCAAATCAAAGTAAAGACCAAAATATTAAAATAGAAGGAAAGAGATTATTTGAATATAAAATCCATTTTGATCCCTCACCTATTAGATGAAGAAACTAGCCAATATGAGCTTATTCCCAATTTCTTAAATGGGCCAAAGCAAAAATACTTTTCTTTGCTCAAACTAAATTAGTAAATTCATTAATCAAATATCTCTTGACATAGTATCATTTTGCTTGACTTATCCAACATTTAACATTATTAACAATTAAATCTATTCTACTTTATTTATTTGCCTTTTTCTTTATTTTCCTTTTTTGTATATGGAGCTGTGCATAATTTTCAAATCTCAAAAGCCCTCCCTAATTTTCTATCACAAGCTAAACGATTCCTATACACAAATTTAGGTTTTTGGTGCATTTAGGGTTGCTGTCAAGATGTTACTCATGTGGAATTCTAAAATCCAAATTGATGGTGGTGGAAAAACTGTTGTTCCGGCCTCAATACTTGAAGTCAGGAATCTGGTTGTTCTGAGGGTAAGATTCAAACATCACCAACTGTTTTTATTAGGCCTTGGATTTATGTATCATCTTGTTCTTGGAAAATTTAGAAGCCCATGTAACTGATTCCTTGTATTTAGTCTGCCTTTATTTGGGCTGATTTTGTGGTTAGGTAGCTGTGGTTCTTTTGTTGTCTTTATTTTTTCTTATTTCTTAATAGATTCTTTTTTTTGCAAAGAGAAAAAAAAAGTAATAATAACTTTTTCTATTGCAGCAAAATTCAGTCATTTGTTCAAACGCAAACTTGGGGGTTTATGGTCAGGGACTGCTGAGGCTGACTGGTTATGGTGATGCAATTCAGGCCCAGAGACTCTCTCTGTCTCTCTTTTATAACATAACTGTAAGATATTAGAGTATAAAATAATGCGTTTACATCTTTGTATTTTTAACGTAATTTTTGTTGTATGGTTGCAGTTCTCCTATGTATTGGACAACAAGCAGTAGATATGTTCCTGTACAAGCTTTTTTGTGTGCACATCATCACATACATTCTGTTCTGTTTTCCTTTTTTTTTCTTTTTTTTTTTTTTTCTTGTAGAATGCTTGAGATTCAAATAATAGAATATTCTGTTAATTTGCAAATGGCCGGCTACGTGTAGTAGTTACTAACTTTTGGTTAACATTTCACAATCTATAAAAAACTGCATTCAGACCGAAGCTGCTTTTATTTTGTACATCTGGAAATGTCAATTTCATGATTTCTAAGAAAAAGATAATAGAATTTAGAATTTAGAGTGCTTCTTTCATTTTGGACATCCAGAGATGTTTAACTTGTTGTTTCTTAATGCTTTAGCATGACATTTATTTCCAGCTAGCTTGTACGATTCTATCGTCCTTTAACAACAATACTTCTAATATATTCTTGGATTTTCTGATTTAGAGCTAACTGATTTGCAACTGATCACATGACAGGTTGGGCATGGTGCTTTACTTCAGGCTCCTTTGGATGATGATGCTAGTAGAAGCACGTAAGTTGAAATCTGGGGCTTTCATGTAACTGCGTTATTTATTGAATTAAGGAGATGAAAGCTGCATTTTGAATTTATTGGCGCAGGATTACAGAATCCCTTTGTCAGAGTCAGACATGCCCAATGGATTTGATTACTCCACCTGATGATTGCCATGTTAATTATACGCTGTCCTTTTCAATCCAAGTAAGTATCAAATCAGAAATTTGTTTTCTTTTTTAATTCCGTTGTAATTATCAACATTGTTTCCATGATTATTTTAATTTTTCATTGGAAACAGTACAACATTTTGTTGTGAAACTTGTTGAACAATCTTCTCAAAAGGTCGCTTAGAACTTACCTGCAGCTTTTTGGGTTCTGTATGGCAGTATGTCTGCTCGGGGTATTGCATCTTCTACAACTGTGCCAGACACTTGTCAGTTCAATGCATCTCTGGCATCTTTTCTTGGTCGTGTCTTTTACCCGTCATCTAGGCATGTGATTATTTGATTGACGGTGTAAATTGTGCTTTGAAGTGACTAGAGGGACTTTCTGGCAGAGTTAATTTCTTAGCAATTTCACGACATGTGATTATTTGATTGCCAGTATAGATTGTGCTTTGAAGTGACTAGAGGGACTTTCTGGCAGAGTTAATTTCTTAGCGATTTCTTGTAATTGCTTGGAGTTCTTTCTGAGCTTATATTATGATGTCATCTTTTAGGTTTAACCATGTCCCTTACATGATACCTCAACATATCCTTCATAAAATACATGTTATTGAATCATGTCTTCTTTCAGTTATAAATCCTTCCATTCTTCATGACGACTTCGTGTTCTGATTATGAATTTCATCATCATTAACTACTTGTCTTGGTGTTTGTCTTGTTGCTTCAACTTTTCATTTTAGTCGCTTTTAGAAGAATTCTATGTAATTCTAGCAATATTGCTGTTGAAATGAAATTTCTTTTACCCTTTGACAGATCTGCCGTGTTGAGGACCTTCTTGTCAGTGGTATTGTCAAGGGAAGTGTCATCCACATTCACAGGGCAAGGACTGTTACTATTGGTAGCAATGGTCTGCTGACAGCATCTGAATTGGGTAATGGCACAGCAGAGATTGTTTTAACACAAAAATAATTGCATGTTTTTGGCTTCTTATTGCTTAGGAACCCCATTTTTCAGGTTGCAGCGACGGTATTGGGAAGGGAAACTATTCAAATGGAGCTGGTAGTGGTGCCGGACATGGAGGAAGAGGGGGTTCTGGTTTTTTTAATGGGAAAACTTGCAATGGTGGCAATAAATATGGCAATGCGGACCTTCCATGTGAATTGGGAAGTGGAGCTGAAGGACCCAATCACTCAAATATAAATGTAGTTGGAGGGGGATTGATTGGTAAACATTTCTAGAACAACTACATCTTAAATCCAAAAAGAGAATGTCTATTAATATTTTGGCATGTAGATGTAATTTAGTAAACAAAAATGAAAAGGATGTAAGATAATTGAATTGATGAGGTATGCCCATAGGCTGAAGTCGGGCCAATACATGGATGGATCTAGGGAAAGGTCACTAACCAGAAAAACGTTGAAACTTCTGAATCATGAAATTTCTCCTTTAAACTGCGGTCAATTAGGTTTGGGTATCAACATGTAGTTTGATGTTCTTGTGAAAATGGAGAAAATTTAAGGGGTTTTGCATATGTTATCTTTTCTCTCTCTTTTTTTTTTTTCCTATGTTAAATTTAAACCTTTAATGTTAACTGATGTATGTTCAGTCACATTTTTACTACACTTTCATGCTTATTATTTGTGTTTATGTTTTCTAGTGATGGGATCCATCCAGTGGCCGCTCTTGGGGCTTGATATCCGTGGATTTTTGAGTGCTGATGGTCAAAGCTTTGGTAAAGCAACAAGAAACGGTAATGGTTCTGTGATTGGCGGAGTTGGTGGAGGTTCAGGGGGAACAATCTTGCTTTTCCTTCAAGAGCTCAGGCTTGCAGGGAACTCATATTTGTCAGTTCTTGGGGGCAATGGTGGTCCTCATGGTGGTGGTGGTGGTGGGGGTGGTAGAGTTCATTTCCATTGGTCCAAGATTGATTTTGGTGATGAATATGTGCCTGTTGCAAGTATAAGTGGCTCCATTAGCAGTAGGTAAGACTTCATATGTAGAGATGTGGAATAATTGAATTACTACTAGTATGAGTGCTAACAAAGAAGAAATGCCAGAATATTTCCAGTCGATGCAACTGCAAAGTTCTATAATCTTGCCAAGCTATAACCAATATACACATACAGCCATCATATAAGTATATTTGTTTTTTATCCCCAAAAAAAAAAAAATCACATAAGTATATTGGTTTAGTAATATCATTTTATTTTCTTCTTGAATTATGATAACTTTCAGCGGAGGTGCTGGGAATAATGGTGGTCGTTATGGTGAAGAGGGCACTATCACTGGGAAAAAATGCCCCAAGGGCCTCTTCGGCACTTTCTGCACGGTATTTTCCATTTACCTTATGTGATATTTGTTTTTTTACTTCCAAATGAAGTAACCAGGTTTTCTTGCCTGTTTAGTTGTGCTTCACATGTTTGGTATGAAAAGTGAAGTAATTGTAATTCCAAATGACTGTTAGTTGCAATTTTTCAATTTGTACAAGGACAAAGCTTTTTTAGAGTACATGTTGAACAGGGAGGCATAATTTGGGCTTCTTGGTAGGGAATAGTGAATCTTATACAAATTCACACTAGCCAAGAGAGGACAAGTGACATTTCAGTGCAAAAGGAACCATGAAAATGGCATCTTATTCTTCATGCTCTATAATGACTAGAAACCGGGTTCTCTAGTCACTAAATTCAGACTTCAACGTTGTTTGTTTCACTTTGCCACATATGAACAAAATTTAATTCACCTTCTGTATTCTGCATAAAATCTTATGTATTCATGATAATTTTTCAATTTTACAGGAATGCCCGCACATATAAAGATACTGATGGCTCTGATGAATCTCTTTGCATTCCTTGTGCACTCGATCGTATTCCAAGTCGTGCTGAGTTCATATATGTACGAGGTAACATCTATAAATATTGGTTTTAATTTGATGTATCATTATTTGCCTCCATTTCCCTTTTTGATAGCTGTTTCTTGGCCTTGCCTCACATTAAGCTGCATACAATTTTCTGCAGGCGGAGTTACTAAGTCATCTTGTCCCTATAAATGCATATCTGACAAGTATAGAATGCCAAATTGCTATACTCCTCTTGAAGAGCTCGTTTATACTTTTGGAGGCCCCTGGCCTTTTGCTATTCTGCTGTCATGCATTTTGGTTCTTTTGGCTCTATTATTAAATACTTTGAGGACTAAATTCGTGGGATCAGGTTCTTATAACAGTTCACGTTCAATTGAACACAGTCATAATCGTTTCCCATATCTTCTTTCCCTGTCTGAGGTATGTCTACGTTTCTTTTCTTTTTCAACAATGACTCCTCCTTTTCGGTTTATGTTGAATTTTCCAGCTGTGAAGTTTAACTATGTGCTGCACCCTTTTTTTTTTTTTTGCTTCTTTTTTCCATTTTTGAATGATAGGTGCGAGGAACCAGATTTGAAGAAGCTCAAAGCCATGTTCACCGGATGTACTTTATGGGTCCTAATACTTTTAGAGAACCCTGGCATCTTCCCTATTCGCCTCCCAATGCAATCATTGAAATAGTGTAAGTAAATAACTCCTAGAAGGGTATATGCTATACTGATCACTCTATAGCCTACTGGAAAGGATCATGTTCTTCTGTTATTGCCGCAATGATTTGTATTTGGTCTTCTAGAAAATGAGACTAAAACTGAGGAAACCTCTTATTATTTCAGCTTATGTTTTTCGGATACATCACTGCTCCTCTTATAGCAGTTTTACAGACCCGGACAGCTATGCTACAAGGTTGACCTTGTTATTTCCCGATGTAATGAGAGAATATTTCTCATTTAATATAGGAGGTCAACTTACTCTATTTTAAGAAATAGACAACCGGGAGAGGAAAAAGTCTTAACCCCACGAATAGGAAACTCATAACCACCCACGGATTCAAGGATTTATTTGATCCTTTCATCCGTTTACAATTACTCTCACAACACTCCCCCTCAAGCTAGGCTAAATATATTGATCATGCCCAGCTTGGAACACAATTCTTCAAAGACATTTCCGCTGAGTGCTTTTGTAAGAATATTAGCTGTTTGCAACAAGGTTGGAATGTACCGCAACTCAAATTTTCCATCTTCAAGTTTTTCTTTGATGAAGTGGCGATCAATTTCTACATGTTTCGTCCTATCATGGTGCACATGATTCTTTGCAATGTTGATGGCTAACTGATTATCACAATGCATCTTTATGGATCCTTCACTGCTGATCTTCAATTCTTATAGAACTCGTTCACTCCAAATACCTTCACATATTCCTTGTGCCATTGCTCGTAATTCTGCTTCTGCACTGCTTCTTGAAACCACCGGTTGCTTCTTGCTTCGCCAAGTCACCAGATTCCCCCACACATAGGTGCAATAACCAGATGTAGATCTTCAGTCCTGTGTTGAACCAGCCCAGTCAGCATCAGTGTAGATCACTATGTCTCTCCTTGAACCCTTTTGAAAATATAGCCCCTTACCATGAGTCATTTTCAAATATCTTAGGATTCTATAAACAGCCTCCATATGCTCCTCTCTACGGTCGTTCATGAATTGACTTACTGTGCTTATAGCAAAGCTAATATCTGGTCTGGTGTGAGACAAATATATCAACTTTCCCACTAGTCTTTGGTATCTCCCCTTATCTACTGGAACACCATCTTCTTTAGATCCCAACTTGGTGTTAGAGTCCATAGGAGTACTTGCAAGCTTGCACCCAATCATTCCAGTCTCTTTCAGGAGATCTAGAACATATTTCCTTTGAGAAACCGGGATTACTTTCCTTGATCGAGCTACCTCCATTCCCATAAAGTATTTAAGGTTCCCGAGGTCTTTAATTTCAAATTCTTTTGCCAACATCCGTTTCAAATCATCCATTTCACTTAGATCATTTCCTGTCAATATGATATCATCCACATACACTATCAGTATGGACAGTTTACCTCCCTCGGAGTGTTTGACAAACAGCGTGTGATCTGCCTGCCCTTGAGCGTATCCGTATTGTTTAACCACTCTAGTGAACCTATCGAACCATGTTCGTGGGGACTGTTTGAGTCCATTCAATGATCTTTAGAGCTTACAAACTTTATTTGTTGTGGATTGTGTTTCTAGTCCTGGTGGAATCTTCATATAAACTTCTTCAGCTAGATCACCGTTGAGGAAGGCATTTTTTACATCAAGTTGACGTAGTGGCCAATCCAAGCTTGCTGCTAAAGAAAGGAGTATTCGAATAGTATTGAGTTTGGCTACAAGAGCAAAAGTTTCTTAATAGTCAATTCCATATGACTGTGTAAACTCTTTAGCAATTAAGCGTGCTTTAAACTAGTCAACACTTCCATCTTCTTTGTATTTCACGGCAAATATCCACTTGCATCCAATTGGATTTTTATTAGGAGGGAGATCTGTGTTTACACATGTACCATTTTTCTCTAATGCCCGAATTTCTTCCCAAACTGCATCTCTCCATTTTGGTTGATTAAGTGCCTCGGAAATGGTGGTAGGTACCTAAATGTTATCCAAGTTGGTTACCAGGGCTTGCATTTTCGATGATAAACCTTGATAGGATACAAAGTTATAGATTGGATGCTTTGGACATGACTTGACTCCTTTCCTTACAACAATAGGCCGATTAAGATCATCATCAATAAACTCATTATTAATGGAGGTGGGTTTGGTGTTACCTGATGAATTTGTACTTGAATTCGGTTCGAATTCTTGGTTTTTCTCCAGAAGAGCTTGTGACTCTACCTCTCCTGGACTTCTCTTCTTTCTCGAGTAGACAATGAGTTCTTTGTTGGGAATTGGATGGTCTTGAGATTGACATGAAATTTGAGTTGTGTTTTGGTCATTTGAGCAAGAATTAGGACTAGGATCAGGAGTAGGTTCTGGTGTATCTTGATGAAATTGTAGGTTAGTGTGAGAGCCATCTATGTCATTGGATATTTCCCGGGACCACTCAAGGCTAGTTGTGTCATCATCATTCCAAAATTGATATTCCTGTATGAATTCCCTATCCCCCTGAATAGCAGGCTTGGGATAGAATGGCACTTGTTCAAAAAATGTAACGTCCATGGTGGTGTAGAATTTGTTGGTAGTGGGAGAATAACATTTATACCCTTTTTGATGTGGAGAGTATCCAACAAATATACACTTAACAGCTCTAGGGTCAAGTTTTCCCATTCGGTGTTGATTAATATGGACAAAGGAAGTGCACCCAAATACTTTAACATGGATTGTGGATATAATTCGGCTGTTAGGGAAAGCTGTAAGTAGCACTTGGGAAGGTGTTTTGTATTTTATAATCCTAGAAGGCATTCTATTGATCAAATATGCTGCTGTAAGGATTGCTTCTCCCAGAGAAATTTTGGAGTGTTAGAGGCAAACATTATGGATCTTGTGACTTCTAAGAGATGTATGTTTCTCCTTTCTGCAACCCCATTTTGCTGTGGGGTGTCAACACAGGAACTTTGGTGTATAATACCTTGTCAACACAGGAACTTTGGTGTATAATACCTTGGGAAATCAGGTAATCTCCTAGAGTGTTTTTGAAGTATTCTCCGGCATTATCAGTCATGAGTATTTGAATCTTTGTTTGAAATTGGGTTTGGATCATATTATTAAAATTTTTTTAATATCTTCTCTACATTTGATTTTCCTTTCATAAGGAAGACCCAAGTGATTCTTGTATGATGATCCATGAATGACACAAATCATCGTGACCTAGTTATATCTTTAACTCTAGATGGCCCCCACACATCACTGCGAATTATTGTGAAGGGATGGGATGGTGTATAGTGATGAGGAACATAGGTACTTCAAGTATGTTTTGAAAGTTGAACATACTTGCCTTTTTATTGATAAACAACGCGGGAAACATTTTCTCAAGATACATAAAGTTTGGGTGACCTAGTCTATGGTTCCATAACATAATTGCATTCTCATTATTGGACTTAATAGCTGAATCAACATAAATATGGGACTGACTTGAAGGCACGCGACTGTTGGGTTGGTCATGATCATTGACATTGAGGAGGTAGAGTCCCGAGCACTTCTTAGCATTGCCAATCGTCTTCCCCGAACTCAAATCCTGAAATTCACACATGTGAGGAAGAAACTTAGTAACACAATTCATGTCCTCAGTGAGTTTACTAATAGATATCAAATTGCAATCTATATCGGGCACCAATAGAACAGAATGAAGAATTAGATCCTTTGCAATGGTAATTGAACCTATGCCAGCCACCTTGGTCAGTGACCCATTGGCTATCCTTACTGTAGGGTTGCCATTACTAGGGCTAAAGGAGGTAAATAGTTTTGCATCTCCTGTCATGTGATCAGTTGCCCCTGAGTCGATAATCCATTGATGAGTAGTTTCTTGTTTAACATGCAATGCAAGTGGATTGTTAACTTTTTGAGCAAATGATCCGGTACCAATTACATTTGAGGCAGGAATTGATTTGTGCTTGGTTGAACATTTGCTGTAAGGCTTCCAACTGTTCTTTGCTGAAATAGGTGACTTCAGGTTTGCTGGAATTCTCCTCGGTTGTAGCAGTATTTCCTCGGCTCTCCCTATCATTTTGCTGTCTTGATGGCTTCCAATCAGCTGGCTTGCCATGTATTTTCCAGCATGTCTCCCTTGTATGCCCTGTACGCCTACAATGATCACACCATTGGCGCCCTTTTTTGTTGTTGCTGTTTGGCATACTTCCTCTTGCAGCCAGTGCAGATGGTTCCAGTAAGTTTTGTGGAGTGGACTGTGGACCCAGCATCACCTTCTTGCAGCTTTCTTCCCTCCTAACCTCGGAGAATACCTCTCGAATGTTGGGTAGAGGTTTCTGGCCCATGATTCTTCCTCTGACTTCATCTAGGTTTTTGTTGAGTCTTATCAGAAATTTATAGACCCTTTTCTTCTCCACAATCTTCTTGTATTTTAAACCATCATCAGGACACTTCCACTCAAGCTCCTCATATAAATCTATCTGCTGCCAATGCCCAGTCAGTGTGTTAAAGTACTGAGTCACCGACATATTCCCTTGGCGTAGATGATGTAGTATGCTTTCCACTTCAAACAATAGTGAAGTGTTTTCATTGTTGGAGTAGGTCTCCTTAACTGCGTCCCAAATCTCCTTGGCTGTTTCATAGAGGAAAAAGTTTTCTCCAATTTCATTTGTCATGGAATTGATTAGCCATGACATAACCATGTTATTGGCAGCCTTCCAAGTTTTGTACTGTGGATCAGTTTTGTGGGGAGCCACCGCTGCTCCAGTGAGAAAATCATCTCTTCCTTTTCCACCGATGAACATCATGACGGATTGTGACCATTGAATGTAATTGCTACCATTCAATTTATGGCCAGTGATAGGTTGAACAATATTGTTGTCTGCTATTCCCCCAGCGCTTGCATTGCTGTTGCTGTCATGGCCTGAGGTTACTTCCGAATAGGTGGAGGATCCCCGTTTGTCACTCGCCATTGTAGCTGATTAACGGCGGTTAGGATATTCGAAAGAATGGCTCTGATACCATCTAGAAAATGAGAGTAAAACTGAGGAAACCTCTTATTATTTCAGCTTATGTTTTTCGGATACATCACTGCTCCTCTTATAGCAGTTTTACAGACCTGGACAGCTATGCTACAAGGTTGACCTTGTTATTTCCTGATGTAATGAGAGAATATTTCTCATTTAATATAGGGGGTCAACTTACCCTATTTTAAGAAATAGACAACCGGGAGAGGAAAAAGTCTTAACCCATAGAATAGGAAACTCATAACCACCACGGATTCAAGGATTTATTTGATCCTTCCATCCGTTTACAATTACTCTCTCAACAGTCTCAAACTATGTGTTTATGCTTTTATCCTCTTTGGACAACAGGTATGAAGATGCTTTTAACAGATTTATTGATGAGATCAACTCTGTCACTGCCTATGATTGGTGGGAAGGATCAGTGCATAGTATTCTATCAGTTCTTGCATATCCTTGTGCCTGGTCCTGGAAACAGTGGCGCCGTCGAAGTAAAGTTCACCAGCTTCAGGAATTTGTCAAATCTGAATATGATCATTCATGTCTCCGCTCCTGTAGATCTCGAGCATTATACAAAGGGATGAAGGTTCATATTATGATCTTTTCTCTTTTTAATCTATCAAAAGTTTGTAGGAGGTTTATTTTAGACTGAAAAAGGAAAATATAGCTTTTTTTTTTCTCAATCGGAAAAGGAAAAGAACGCGAAAAAAATGAATCCACTCAGCTTTCAAAATTTGAAACCTTATTGCAGTAGTCCTAACCTTCTTGGCCATTCATTAATGTGCCTTAAAATAACACATGGACTCAGATTGCATTTGACTTGGCCTTATTATACAAAATAAACACCAAGTTTGATCATCTCATTTTTTTCTACAGCTGACACATGAGAGAAAAAGTGTTGCTACTCGGTAGCTATTGTTAGTCTGCGAGAACATCCCTATTTAAAAATTCATCCCAAGTTCAGATTTACGTAGTGGTTTGGATTAGGTACCATTTAATCTACTTTTATTATATTCATAGAATGACAAATAATGTAGGTTGGAGCAACTCCAGACTTGATGGTGGCGTACATTGATTTTTTCCTTGGTGGTGATGAGAAACGTGTAGACATGGTATCCATCATACAGAAGAGATTTCCTATGTGCATAATATTTGGTGGGGATGGAAGCTACATGTCACCTTACAATGTTCACAGCGACACATTGTTGACCAATCTCATTGGGCAGGTCTTTGCTTATCCTTCGATTAAATTTCTCAATAATACTTTGAGTACTTCTTTCTGACAAAAACGTACATTATTTCGTGACAGCATGTTCCAGCAACTGTTTGGAATCGCCTGGTTGCTGGTATGAATGCTCAGTTGAGAACAGTGAGGCATGGATCTATTCGTTCTCACCTAATCCCCATTATTAAATGGATAAATAGCCATGCAAACCCTCAACTTGATTTTCATGGAGTTAAAATTGAGCTCGGATGGTTTCAAGCAACGGCTTCTGGTTACTATCAGCTTGGGGTATTGGTAGTAGTGGGTGACTATCCTCTTCAAAATGTGGACCACTCTGGAGTATTTGATAGAAGCAACAGTGAACCTCCAAGGTAGCTCGATTAATTTCAACACTGCTTAGGAAAGAGCATCTATCTACTTAATACATTTGCACCAACGTCTGCTTATTTGACTAATTTATTGAGAATTTGGAAATTCCAAGACTGAACACCAACTTCATTCATCCATTGAAAAAGAACAAATATAAAATTTTTCCCTTTCAAATTATGTTTCTTCTTGGTGAATTGGTAATTTCCAGTCTTTAGCTTACCTTTATACTATTTCATTTGATCTGTGATGATGGGGAGAAAATCATAAGTTGAATTGCAAAATGTGTTTTCTTGCTACTGAGACTTGCACGGCATGGCATTTTCTGTGCTTTTTAGGAATCTGCACTGCACTCTTAATTATTTAGTGGAAGAAGACCGGTTTAAATTGTAATGGAACGGCAATAATAATATTGATGATGATTATGAATTATGATAAATATTTCTGTTTGCTTGTTTGTTTCTTTTGTTTCTATCATTATTTTTGGGGTTGGACTTCTAAGTGCATTCAATATCTTTTTGGGCAAAAAGTACAGAGCAACTAGTCCCATTGTGAATGCACATAACAAGTATCGCATCATTTAAAGGATCTTTTTTTTTTTTTTTTGTGTGAAAAAAATAAGCCTCTATATATTGGTTTGTTTAAAAGGTTATTGACTTAGTCTATTTTATCCATATGCAAGGACCAATACTTCAAGTGCAAGAACAATTTTGAAGCAGTCGCACCAGAGCTTGCCATATATAGGTCATGCATTGTCTATCAAAAAGATCACGGGAGGAATTAATGGGGGTCTTATAAATGATACTACTTTGAGATCGCTGGATTTTAGAAGAGACTATCTCTTTCCAATTTCTCTCATACTGCATAATTCAAGACCTGTTGGTCGTCAGGTAATTCAAGGAGATCTCTTGTGCCACCTCTGCTATATGCTGATCAGTTTTTAAAACTAACACCATCTGATGCCAACTTGGTGTTTCAGGAAATTCTGCAGCTGCTGATTACGGTCATGCTTTTGGCAGATCTTTTTGTCACCCTTCTTACACTGCTACAATTCTATTGGGTTTCTCTTGGAGCTTTCCTTGCTATCTTGCTTATACTTCCTCTATCCCTCCTTTCTCCATTCCCAGCTGGGCTGAACGCCTTATTCAGTAAGGAACCTAGAAGAGCTTCGCTTGCTCGTGTTTATGCATTGTGGAATTCGACATCTCTATCTAATATTGTAAGTTTTGAATGGATTTTGATATCATCAGCTAGTTTTCTTTTTGTACATTTACTTCTAGTAGGATGCCACTTATTTTCCTAATAGGAAGGAATGCTTGCTGCACAAAATATTCAGAAAAAAAAAAAAAGAACTGCTATAAGTAGTATTACACGTGGCTAAATCATGAACCAACAGTCTTCTTGAGCTCCTTGTGCTTTTTTGTAGACAAAGTATATGTTGATAAAGACAGGGTAGGAAGATTGGTGAAAACCTCACCTAACATAGTTTTTTTACTTCTTCATGCCACTCTGATTAAGGAACTTCCAATACTTAATTTGCCCAACTAGTTGCGAGCGAAGCAAACAATGAAAATTTTAACTAGTTGCTAAACTTGCCAGAGAAAAATTGAAACATATAATTGACATAAAGATATTAACACTGCTGAAACTACAGCTCTGTTTTCCCCATATCTTGCTCTGATTCTCCATGAGCTCTCTTATCCTTTTGGTGATGTAAATTAGAGAAATGAAACGACCAGTAAATACTTCAGTCTCCAAACACCGTTGGAGCCTGGATTTTAATAGGAAATCCTGGGGGAAAACCTCAATGGTTGAAATAAAAGGAAATAGATTCCTGTAGGTGATGTTCTTTCATAATTTGTCTTCTCTGAGCCTAGAATGACTTGCTTTAAATAACTAAAACTAGCCCTTAGACTCCATGAAACACTTAAGAAACCCCAAACAAGACACTCAATGCACCATAACGTGCAATGAACCACTACATTAGTGATGACTAGAAATATGGAAAGACAAACAACTCCCTAAACATAATTAAAGTATAAAACACAAAGACTTAATTTCCTTCTGCATAATATGGTCAACAGGTGAAGTGGCTAAGAATATTCCTTAATGTTTTTTGGATGATTCATTATCAAAATATTTGGCGTTAATGTTTTAACTGATGTAAAGCTTGAGAGTTTGCAATTACTTGTTCAGAGATTTTGCAAAGGTTTAAATGTTTTAGTTGTTTGGATGTATTATGGTTATGCCTATTTGTTAACATTATATGATAAACTCACCCTTGACCTTTGTAGGCTGTTGCGTTTATTTATGGCATTTGTCATTATGGATTTTCCTCTTTCCAACCTCCTGATAAGGCAAATTCACGGAACCTAAGAAGGTGAGAATTGAACTTTTTACTTCCCAATCAATATGGAAATAGAAGCTTCCGCTTATTAACCGCATACGTTTGTCTGTCTTCAAGACTTCAACTTATGGATATATGTATCTGTGTATATAAATATATTTGTTTTTATTCACTGCAATTTAACCTTAAATGGTAATATTTTTTAAGGTTAAATTGCATCAAATCAAAATATCTCTATATGTTCCTTTTGTACTGATTGGGATAGTTAAGGTTTCTTAACTCTATCGTTTTCTTTTCTCAGTTTTGTTTGGTCAAGACTCGAGATTCAAATATTGATTCCTTTTCTTCTGCTTAACCATCTCTTAAGCTTTTGATTGAACTTGCCTTCAGGGAGGATGACAAATGGTGGCTTTTGCCTACTATTCTACTGTTGTTCAAGATAATACAAGCTCGTTTCGTTGACTGGCATATAGCAAATTTAGAGATCGAAGATTATTCACTGTTCTGTCCAGATCCAGATGCTTTTTGGGCCCATGAATCGGGTTCATGATTCATTCAATCTTTATGCAATGGGGTAGCGGCTTTTTCTTTGTTATTTTGCTGTCAGGAAAGAAGCGATATGTTCTGCTTTGGTACAGGTGCGTCTGCTTTGCCGGTGTACATAAGTTATATAGATGTACAATGTATTGTTTATAGGGGTGCATTTTTCCTTCACTGTGGCCATAGTGGAGTGCAAAGAACATAGGAAATAGATTTTTTTTTTTTTTTAAGCTAGGGGATAGGAAATAGATTCATTGTTCCATTTTTTTTTTTTTTTCCCAACTAGGCGTTCTTTTGTTGTAATATAAGAAAGCTTTTTCTATAGTATATGCATTTATTATATCCATATTCTCTCTCTCCTGTCTACCTCTCACTCTCTCTCATCCACTTTCAGACATAGTACACTACTTCTCAAAATCATTTTCCTGTTTAGTGATCAAGATTTAGCTTTGAGTTCAGTCATGAGAGATGTACATATAATGGAGGTACAAAAACCGCTAGACAAGTGGAAATGCCCCGAGTGTTTCAAATTTACAAAGTCATGCATGTTCCATCTTTGTTTATCCATTTCTATGGAATTGGAGAGAATCATATATTTGTTTTTTTCTTTTCTGTTTTTGGCTGAAAACATTTGTTAATCATATTACTTGTTGTATTTTAAGTTTTTCTATCATGTCAATAAAGTCAATTTTTCTTGGTATTTCTTAGTAGTCACTAGACCACGAATTCATGTTTTTTGTTGCCTTTTTGGTTTGTGGTAGTGATATCCTCTTTAAACAAAGAGTTGTTCAAGCGAAACATTAGAACCTCTCGCACCCAACGCTATTAAGTTTTAATTTCCAAAAGTGAGAGCTAAGTTGGAAAAGAAAAAAAAAAGAAAAGAAAAATTAAAGAAATAAAGGGAACTTTTTGTAGTCAACCCGTTATCTAATTTCCCAACAAAGAAAGTAAAATGTGATTCAGAGAGCGACAAAATAGTCACAATGTGGGAATCCAGAGTACGAGGATTATTATCTACTTAGGACTATAAGTTGTTTCTCTAACTCTCTCTCTCTCTCTCTCTATATATATATATATCTATATATATCTATATATATGTATATCTATATTTGTATATTGCGCAGAACTAGAACTAGAAATTAAACCTATTTGACGTTAGGAATAGAAACACAGTCGGAATGAGAACTTGAACTAGAAACTCCCATGCCAAATTACTCACATTTAGTCACTATTTTTTTGGAAGTACTTTAAGAAACAACAACCTTAATCTCAACATAGAAATATATCCAAACTCTGGTCGTATAAAGATTTACTAGAAAATGAAGAGATTATTTTGCTCTCCAATTGCGTTTGGGTCATATACCAAGTGATCCTATAATATATAACTCGTTGAATAACTATTTTAGTCGCACTTATACTTCAGCTAAAAAAGAAGGAAGAGGAGAATAGCTATTCTAATCGGATAAGAGGTATACCAAAAAACTATAGGTACAGCAATTGTTCTATAGCTTTTTGGTGTATCTCTAACCGATTAGAATTTATTTTCAATGTCAACTCATATATATTTTCTTTTAATTCCAAAATATTAGTCTCCTTACGTAAGCGAATTTTACTCTGATCAATGATTTATCAGAAAGCTTTAAAAAAGGGATGATTTCTCTTTCTAATTGCTTTCTGATACATCATTGATCAATCAAGAGATTCATCTCTAAAAAACACTTATAAAACCGAACAATTTCTGAGCACTCTTATTAAAAAAAAAATAGGAAAAAAAAAGTGATCATACATGTGACTGGTGAATACTATCATTTATTCGTAATGTCAATTCCTATTAAAATAAAAAATCTGACGAATTCTACAACCTCGGTAATGCAATCTGTTTATGGAAGTTAATATCTAAGTTTTATGTAATTGCTATAGAAGGCTTTGAATATAAGGTAAGATTTTGAGAGAGAGGAAAATATGTCAAGACTTAAGATGAATTAAAATTAATAAATTAATAGTTTACATAAGTTAATAAATATTTCAAATTACTGTTTTTGTCCATAACTTGTCAGGTTATGAACCATAACTTGATAAGTTATTGTCCATTTTTATCCATAACTTGTCCGGCTATGAACCATAACTTAACAAGTTTGTCCATAACTTATCTAGTTATGAACCATAACTTAACAAGTTATAGCCTATTAATTTCTATAACTAAAAGTTGACAAATGACAAATTGATTGACAAGTGACAAATTGATCCTTAATCTTTTTATGTTGACAATTAAGTCCTTGAACTTTCAATTTAGTGCCAAATTAATCCACCGGTAATGTAATGGGGCCAATAAAGAAGTTTAAAATCCCTACCATCAGAATTGCAGTGCTCGAAATCGACAAGGACTCAAAAAGGCAAAAAAATAAAAAAAAATTAAAATTTTTTATATCCTTCTAATTTTTTATGCATTATAATTTTTTATTCCCTCCCATTTTTTTTCCTTCTTAACAAACAGAGTGGAGTCGGAAGGTCAGTTGGTACTGCACACCATGTTGTTTCTCCACGGTGGTGACGAAGGTTGAGACTACTGTAAAATTTAAGACTTCGTTCATTTCACCGATTTGAGTTTTCAGTTTTAAGTTTCTATAGTTAAAAGGTTTTAAAAAATGTCACATCTAACTTTTTTTACTACAGTTAAAAGCTCTCAGAAAATGTCACATCTCAACTCGAATTAAAAACTCAAATCTGCCAAAATTTGCTGATCATATCATACGTGCTCTTCTCAAGGTTTTCACACATTCACAGGTTCAAGTGCCGATGCGCAGTCAGATTTCTAAACGAATTTTGTAGCTCTTTAATTGTGGTTCCATCCAATTCAAGGACGGTCAGACTGTCCATAGGCTCCTTGATTTTTGGGAAGCGTTTGAACTTCGAGCAACCAGAGAGAGAGAGACTTCTTACAGACTTCAACTTACACATGTTGGCGGAGACTCCCCCAAGCTTTTTGCAAGAAGAGAGACGCTCAATTGGCCCATTTCTTCGATCAAATCCTGCATCGAAAGTATGTTGTTGGGTCTCACAATTACGAGAGACTTATCAACTAGACTATCTATTCTTGTTTGTGTAGGAACTACCACCAAGCATTCAAAATTTCTTCAACACACTCTCTGTGCATCCCTTTAAAAAAACATGCTATATGAAGAAATACATCCTTCTTGTGTCCATCGTAACTTCTCCTCAACACATCATGAACTTCGGTCTTGGGAAGTTGTTAGAGTCTGTTGAGTTCACTTTCCAAGTCCTCTTTCCTCATATTTCGAAGAAAGGAGCCCCACACATTAAGAGCCAATGGGATTCCATCGGCATAATTTACGAGTGCCCTTTCTAATTTTTCTTCCTGATAATCTCTTCCAGAGGTAGTACTATTTCTTGGTTCCTTTCAAAGTGCTCGAACGAAAAAGCTCCAGGGCTTCATCAACGTTCAATCCCTCAACTTCATATATCGCATGATCAGCTCCGTCATTAAACACGACTTGTTTATCTCTTGTTGTCACAATAATTCTATTTCCGTGGCCAAAGCAATGGTGATCTAAAATTTCTAATTGCTTCGAATCGTTCACGTCATCTAGAACAATAAGAACCCTTTTCTTGTGCACTCTTCCCTTGTAAAAATTCAACTTTTCGAACAGGGTCATGCCTGTACGTGAATTTTCATCTCCCATTAGTTTGCAAAGAAGTTTATTTTGTAAATCATATTTCTTTCATCCTTTGTCCCATTCTTCTCTAACATTTGCAAGAAAACAGCAACCCTGAAATTGAGATGAGATTTGGCTGATTACAACATGTGCAAGAGTAGTCTTTCTTATACCACCAATTTCCCAAAGCACAACAGTGCGAACATTAGGAGAGCCAATATCTAGTTAAGATATAAGTTTCTCAGCACGTTTATGAATACCAACCAAAGAATTGAGATCATCACCAATATTTGAGGAAAGAAGACTCAATTTCCTTGTAATACCTTCAACAATTTTCTCAACCAACTCTGATTCATCCCTATCAAGCATGTATGAAAAACAATAAATAGTAGTGAGAAAGATCCACAATGCATTATTTCTCCACAAAAAAGAAAAAAATGACCTATAATGCATTAGTAAAAGCAAAAACGAAAGAAAAACCACGAAGAGGTGAAGAAAAACTGTTGGAAGTGTAATCTCAATTTTTTTTGTACCAACTTACGTGATGATACGTTGTTATCTTTTCATTAGTACATTAATATCAGTCTTTTAAACACTTACCATAGAAAATGACAACTCACATGCCACATAAGTTGGTATAAAAAAGTTGAGATTAGAGTTGTTATCCCGAACATTATTCTTTAATAATATCCAAGATCTAAGGCTGCGTTTGGTTGGGGGGGAATGGAATGGAAAGGAAACGCCATTCCACCTAGGGTGCGTTTGGTTGCAGTGACGGAATGGTAATAAGAATGCTAATGAGAATGGTAATTGAATGAAATTGGAATGTGGTGGAATCATAAACTAATTCTTTTGTTTAATTGGAGTTATGGAATCAATACTTGAATGAGGATTATACTGTTTGGTTGACAAAATAATGGAATGAAAAAAAACTGTATTTTGACAAAAATACAATTTATTAATAATCCTAAATAATTTAATATTTTAATTAATTAAAATAGTAAAAAAATAATTTAATTATTGAAAAAAAAAATTTATTTGAAGGATAATAATTTAAAAACTATATTTCAATTGTAAAATAATAATAATTGATATTTTTATGTAATAATAAATTATCACAAGTTTAAATATTATAACTTTTAGCATCTATCATGATATGTTTCCTGAAAAATATAACTTTGGCCCCTGTCAATAATAATAATGACAATATATCGTTCAACTACATATATAATCCCAAAATATAGTCATATGCCAAGTGAAGCAAGTTCCTAGTTAATACAATTTAACAAAGTGAAGCATAATCCTAATTAGTTACAATATCAAAAGAAAAGTGCATAGCACATGCACCACTATATCAAAAGAGAAATGCATAGCACATACACCACTATATCAAAAGATAATCCGGCTATGTTTTTCCACTGAAACTAAGCAAACACTCCTAAATATCACCAGTAAGCAAAACTCTAGCCCACTCATCTTTTTCATCATCAGGGATACTAAAAAAGTAAAAAACTAAAGCATCATCCTTTATCATCGTCCGAGCTACCTTATGTCGTTCCATTGCGTTAATGGTTGTGGTCCTTTGTAGCTCATCCCTAATCCGGCTATGTTTTTCTGTCATATCTTCACCGATAGCCCGACTTAAACCTTCACTTGCTTTTTCAATAACACCAGCAAGTAAAGTAGGTGATCTTTTAATGGCTTCATAAGCCTCCGCATTGTTTGTATTCTTCTTTTTTCTTTTAGACGACCCTTGAGATTGAGCTTGAGTTTGAGGAATAGCCGATGCTTGTGAAAAAGACATTGATTGCACTTCATCAACATAAGTAGTATTGTGAATGTCATTGAAACAATCATCGTCAATATTAATGTCGTCAGCTGCTTCTTTTTCAAGTTCCTCAATTACAACAGCAGCAGCCGCAGCCTCGGCACCCCTACTAGTTGCACAATCTTTGCCGAAAACCATACACAAGTCATCATAGTAGGGAAAAGCCTTGGTCTTAAACGGCAATGCTTCCTTGTGACTCTGAATTTAATACAATGAAAGATTAAACTAGATGAACAACTTCTATTACTATCAACCATATTATTGAATTATATTATAAGTACCATGAGATATGCTTCTCACACCGGCTTCTCAGTTGTAACTGTTTTCCTATCTGGATCCCATCCTAAACCGCTACAGTTAGGCCCGGTTAGCATTGCACAATTTGAAAATGAGTCTTCAAAGTTTTCATTCTTGACTCTATGTGTGGCCTAGCTAGTAAGTTACATCGCTTTGAATTGTTTTTATTTATAGTATTTGCAAGTTACTAATTATATAATCATAGAGGATGTTGATTATTGATTGTATATATGTTTGTTCTTTGCTATTGTTAGGATGGACATTTCCAAATCCAGAGGTCTAGGTCAAAATAAAAGGTTTTGGAATGAATATGAGGATAAATTCTTAATTGAGACTTTAATGGAGTTACATAACGAGGGAACATATAAAGCGGAAGGTAATTTCATAGCAGATTACCAGGATCTGACTTACTAGCTAGGCCACACATAGAGTCAAGAATGAAAACTTTGAAGAATCATTTTTAAATTGTGCATGAAATGCTAACCGGGCCTAACTGTAGCGGTTTCGGATGGGATCCAGATAGAAAAACGGTTACAGCTGAGAAGCCGGTGTGGGAAGCATATCTCAAGGTACTTATAATATAATTCAATAATATGGTTTATAATAATAGAAGTTGTTCATCTAGTTTAATCTTTCATTGTATTAAATTTAGAGTCACAAGGAAACATTACCGTTTAAGACCAAGGCTTTTCCCTACTATGATGACTTGTGTATGGGGTTTTCGGCAAATATCGTGCAACTAGTAGGGGTGCCGAGGCTGCTGCTGATGTAATTGAGGAACTTAAAAAAGAATCAGATGATGACATTAATATTGACGATGATTGTTTCAATGACATTCACAATACTACTTATGTTGATTAAGCGCAATCAATGTCTTTTTTACAAGCATCGGCTATTCTTCAAACTCAAGCTCAATCTCAAGGGTCGTCTAAAAGAAAAAGGAAAAGTACAAACAACGCAGAGGCTTATAAAGCCATTGAAAGATCATCTACTTTACTTGCTGGTGTTATTGAAAAGGCAAGTAAACGTTTAAGTCGGACTATCGGTGAAGACATGACAGAAAAACACAGTCGGATTAGGGATGAGCTACAAAAGACCACAACCATTAACGCAATGGAACGACATAAGGTAGCTCAGACGATGATAAAGGATGATGCTTAGTATCCCTGATGATGAAAAAGATGAGTGGGCTAGAGCTTTGCTTACTGGTGATATTTAGGAGTGTTTGTTTAGTTTCAGTGAAAAAACATAGCCGGATTATCTTTTGATATAGTGATGTATGAGCTATGCATTTCTCTTTTGATATAGTGGTGCATGTGATATCTTTCTTTTGATATTGTAACTAGTTATGATTATGCTTCACTTTGTTAAATTGTATTAACTAGGAACTTGCTTCACTTGGCATATGACTATATTTTGGGATTATATATGCAGTTGAATGATATATTGTCATTATTATTATTGACAGGGGCTAAAGTTATATTTTTCAAGAAACATATCATGGTAGATGCCAAAAGTTATCATATTTGAGCTTGTGATAATTTATTATTACATAAAAAATATTAAATATTATTTTTTTACAATTGAAATATAGTTTTTAAATTATTATCTTTCAAATAAAAAGTTTTTTTCAATAATTAAATTATTTTTTTACTATTTTAATTGATTAAAATATTAAATTATTTAGGATTATTAATAAATTGTATTTTTGTCAAAATACAGTTTATTTTCATTCCATTCCGTTGTCAACCAAACAGTATAATCCTCATTCAGGTATTGATTCCATAACTCCAATTAAACAAAAGAATCATTTTATAATTCCAGCACATTCTAATTCCATTCCATTACCATTCCGTCGCTGCAACCAAACGCACCCTAAGAGAAAAGTAAAACTACAAGATAAGGAGAAGACAAATTCTTGTGACTCTTATTGTTAAGACATTAATCCACTATTTTGTTTCATTTACCACTTAGGTCTTGTTTATTTCATGACTCGAGTCAGATTGCTACAGTGTTTTCTCTCACATAAATTCAAATTCAACATTTTTTACTATAATATTTTTCTCTCACATACATGACTTGAGTTGTGCAGATGAACACGCCCATTTAGTGCAGATGACAACTTTCTATCAAATTGCAAGACATTTCATAGTGATTTTCTAGCATGAATCTAAGCTATGAATAAGAGGACAAAATAGAAGTTATAGTACTTACTTCATGTGTCTAGTGAACTCCATCCAGATAGATTTGCAGCTGCTGTCAATGCGGCCTTCCACTCATGAACCTTGTCCATTTGATTCTTGAAACGTTGTTTAAGTTTTAGCAAATGAAGTTTTGTATCTGCCCCGTTGTTTCCGTACATCGGATGGATCCACATGGTAAAAGACTGGAAAAATAACTCGTCCATTCCTTTCTTTGCATAGGATTATGTGCACAAGTTCGTCCAAACACCATGCAGAGGAGGCATAGTTTCTTGAGAAAATGATTGCCGATATCTTTGCTTCTTCAATTTCTTTCAAAAGTGCAGGCGAAATTTCATCCCCTCTCTCAAGTCTGTTATCTATAAAGGTTTCGATATCCTTTCAGCGTAGCGCAGCATAAAGATGGCTGGTAAAATTATAACAAGTATCTTCACCTCTAAAACTAAGAAAGACGTCATTCTTTTTTAAACAAGGGAGAGGGGAAGAATCAAGAGAAGCAGCAGCCATATTCGTGGCCAAAAATACTCTACTTAACAAAAGTACTGAGTGTGCGCTTGATCAACATGATTTCGTCTACACAATGAGAGACCATAATTAAATTGAGAAGGCGTCAATATTACAATAATAACAATAATAAAAGAGAAACTTAATTAATCTTCCACCAAAATCTAGCAGCTTTATATTTATGTCATCTTTGTTAATTTAAAAAATAAATTATTATCGTAGATATAATTTAAAGCCAACAATGCATTACAAGTCTTAAAAAAAGGTCGTATTTGCAAAGTGGAACGAAAGATTTGCCTACCCCGCAATAGGTAAGATGTGTTTTCTGAAAACGAAATTAAGAAAGTTGGCAAAAAAAAAAATTATATATATACACACACCTTTGGTTTATGTTTAACTTTCAGATACTTTTCTTTTATCTAGAAATTAACGGATTACATCATTTACATACACATACATATTTCGTTTTTTCGAGTACCTCAAAAATCGACTGATTGCATTATTATATAATATATATATATATATATATATATTTGCTAATAAAAAGATTTCATTAAAGCCAAAAGGCAGAAACAAAGACAGCAGACAAACAAACGAGAGATGGAAAAAGAAAGCACAACTACCACCTAATCCACTCTACAACATCCGATTAAACAGAGAAGGTAAACAAGAAACATCCACAATCCCAAAAACAAACGAACCTAGATACCATTTACTTAGATTATGCACATCAAAATTACAAGATCTAGGAGTCCAACGAATAATGAGGTCCTGCGGGATGAAGTCCTTCCTACGGATGTCCTAAAAGGATAATATCTATTGACGCTTTTATCAGGAAATTTGCACAAACTACCTCATGAGAATTTGCAATTGTATAGAACAAACCCACACAATTAATCATAGAGAGAAGTTAAAGAGATTACAAACATGGAACGGTAGGAATATCGTGCGTGAAGATCAGCATGGAATTGGAATTGGAATTCTGATTAGATGGCTAAATCAGATGAACTGGTGAGCATGGAATTGGAGTTGTAACTAAATCAGCAAGATGAGGATCTCTGGCAGGAGATTGGAGAACAGGGATCTTAAGAAGTCAATTTTTGGTCTTTGCTAGTTTTAGAACTTCCGACAACCAATTATCATATGACAAAATGAAGACTTTTTCCTCTTTCTATTTTTGATAATGGGATTTGGCAGGACTTTTTAAAGTAAATTACCAGGCTTTCTAAAAATTAGTTAAATAATCATTTTACGTTAAAAGACATAAATAGCCTTCACAATTATATATCTATGATGTTTTTCATTATCATGGCATCGTTCATTTCACCGATTTGAGTTTTTAGTTTTAAATTTTTACAGTAAAAAACTCTCAAAAAATGTCACATATAACTTTTTCTTGTACAGTGAAAAGCTCTCAAAAAATATCACATCTCAGCTCGAATTGAAAACTCGAATCCGCAAAATTAACGAGGCCATATATGTATGATGTTTGATTGCTAAAACATATCCATACGAAAAATACTAGTATTACTTTGTCACTCTCTTTGTTACTTTTTTTATTCACTGTTTAACATGTAAACTCTATATCATTATTTAAAAAGAAAATGAAATAGTGAATTCTACATTTCAAACATACAAAGAGTAAAAGGGATGCTAGTATTTTTCCATACCCAGATTATCCTAAAGACTAGCTTCCAACATGGAAGATGGGCCTTTTGCCAAGACATGTACCCACAATTGCAGAGCTTTGACCTGGAATGTTACCTCCTTCCCACCAAAAAAAAAAAAAAAAAAAAAAAGTTTTTCCCCAAAAGCTTAGCTCGGTCAATCCCAATTTGTTGGTGTTCAGTGGACCATAATTCTTGTAACTCTGCTCTAACTAGCCAAATGTAGTTTTTTTCAGATTTCATCCTTCTCCTTTTGGAGGATTGGGTCAGTATGCTATAATGAAAACGTATGCAGGTTATAAAACAGAATCGCACTTTATGTAATTACTTCTTTAAAACAGATTTTAAGAGGATATCCATAATGTTCCAGCTCTTAGCCACACCAATTTTCTATGGTTTAAAAAGGTTTTTAAGTTGTGTGTGGACGTCATATACCACAACAGTATAGGCAAGATGAAGTCAAACCAATCGTGAACCAACAGAAAGTGTCTTCAGACAAAGGGCAGAATCGACCGTGTAAAGGGCTTTGTACAACCACATTTGGGAAACACATAAATAGGGGATCTGTCCCTTCCTCAATTGAATAGTTAATACACAAGTAGTTTATAATTACATAAAGCACCAAGTGATAAAAAGACCAGGAGCGGCTGCCGTACTCTAAGATACAATTTGACATCGGGAGGAAAAGAAAAAAAAACATCAGTCAATTATAATTTTCCATCCAAAATCTCAAAAGAAGTTGGATTCTTGGACATTTGCGACGAGATGAATTCCTTTTACATATTTACTCAATGGCCGTGTTTACTTGATCAACATTCTGTTTTCTCGAATTCACCGAAGGCTCCTCCCGAGCAAATACCAAGGGCTACATGCTATGTAGATGAGACAACCAGGTAAAGCAATTTAATCGATTTTGCAAGTTAGAGAAGCATTAAGGTGTGTCATAACTTCGAGAGCTGTCGCCAAGGGCATCCACCTTCGAAAGCTTGCTCTAACACGTCTTCCATTCGCTTCGCGAGTAAAATCTGTTGCAAAAGATTTTAACAAAATGACATACGTTCCGGTTCACAGCAATGTTTCATATGGGAATGATCAAAGATCCATGGAGTAACCAAATCACATGGATGCTCTGATCTCATCACCAAAATAATTACTTGAGATGGAAAATCTCATCTGGTCTAATTTCATCTTTGTGCCGCTCAGTCATGTCTCATCATTATATTTTACTTTAACTAAAGCCTGCAGTTTTTTTTTTTTTTTTTTGACTTTTTGAAAATCATATGTCCTTAAAATTTCTATTGCTTTAGAACAAATTACCTCTAGACTGGCTAGCACAGCCGGTGGTACTTCAACCAAATCTTTCAAGTTTCTCTCTGGAAGGATAACTCTTTTAATGCCATAACGATGCGCTGCCAATATCTGCACAAATTCAGATTCTAAATCAGCCCCATACTGCACTCACCAGTCTGCATTTACACTCGGGGCAACATAAAGCTTAAGCATAGCTTTGAGGAATAACAAAATGTTTCCGTTAATAATGCATGAAATAACAGCGCATTTGGCACAATAATATGTAACTTACATACAATATCATGTCCACATGTGATCAATGTTTAACATTGTCCAATCTAGGTTCAGTTGGATAGAGAAATAAAGACAACTAAATTATGGATCACATTCGAGCAAAAATAATTATAAATTACAAAATCACGACCTGTACATGATTCTGCCTTTGGGTCTACATCTATAGGCTAAGAACCATGAGAATCAAGAAGCCTTAAGATGGATTCCAGATATTTTTCAAATTAATTTCACAAATGCCCCCTGAACTATGAATCTTGGTTCAACATGCCCCTTAAATTTTGAAAAGGGTTCATTTCACCCCTTAACTATACTAAATCGTTTAAAACACCCCCTAAGCTGATGTAATTTTATAAATGCTCCCAAACTATTGATTTTGTGTCAACTTGCTACCCGATTTTTTAAAATTAATAGCTCGGGGGCATTTAGGAAATTATAAGTAGTGTCACATCATCAAGAGAGAATTATCAGGTGAGTAAAGCACACCTTATCCTTGATGCCACCAACGGGTAGGACAAGACCCCTCAATGTGATTTCCCCTGTCATTGTCGTATCTGCTCTTACTCTTTTCTGACTGAACAATGAAACCAGTGCAGTTACCAGTGTCACACCTGCTGATGGCCCATCCTTGGGTACAGCCCCAGCAGGAAAATGTATATGTATATCTCGACCTTCCAAAAGATTGATTCCCTCAGCAGCTGCCAATTTAAGATCAGTTGCCCTGGCTCTTACCTAGAGCACCAAAGTCGGTCTTCAATTTCAATAACATACAAACTAACTATTCAACACCCCAAAAAAAAAAATGATGACAATGAGGAGCAAAGAAAACTATTATTACAAATACCGAATGCAAACTTAAAGAGGTAAATTCCTAATTAATTATAAATCTCTAGGTTCAGATAACTCTTAGCTTTAAGATGGAATTGATTCTTTTTAGACTAAGTTGATTACTGCCACACATATTTTCTTTGTCTTATAAGTATTCCAGCACACTCACACACATAAATCTATATTCGTGTGTATGAATATATCATTTTGGTAATCCAGCTTACACAAGCAACAAGATACAATTGAAACGCAAGATCATTAAGGAAACAGCAGAAATATTTAATTTCTCACTTAGTGAGGATGTAGAAGTTTGCCTAGAAGAATTACCCATGTCAATGCTATTTGCGCTGATTCTTTAATAACATCTCCCAGCTGACCAGTTAGATGTAATTCACCCTTTCCTGCCATTGCTGTAGCTTCCACAAACTGGACCTCTCCACCAAAAGAAGTCCAGACAAGCCCAACAGATATACCAGGTGCTACAACTCGCTCTGCTGCTTCTCTATCATCAAACCTAGGAGGCTGCATGCAATAGCAACAACAACCTCAGATCTGTAGACATGATGAACTCTCAACTTGCAACTGAAGAAAAAAAAAGGATCACTAAAGCTCTTGCCCTAGTTCCTGGATAACATTATACATTAGAAGCTTGAGCCTAAGGATGTGACACATGGAAATATTTGGCAAAAAAGAGGCTCCACGAGCATACTGTTAACCACCGAAATCCATCACTCGTGTGCCAAAAGGAAGTATAACAACGCAGCTATTGAATAGCTGGAATTGTGTTCAGAGAAAGAATTCATTATAAAGCACTATCTGATGTTGCAAATACAGTAAGATGGACGTCACAGACCATAAAAGTGGTACTTTAAAGCACAAAATAAATAGAAAACGAAAAGGGGAAAAAAGTGGGAAACATAATTACCCCAAGGACTGTCTCCAGCATATCCTCATCCACTATTAATGGTGAAACAACCTTGAATGTATTCGATATATCATGATTATTTACAGCCATTGGGATGACCTCCATTTCCACTTCAGCTCCATCAGCCAGTCTATTTTCTATAATTGGTGAAGCAAGCTGTTCCACATTTTTGCTAAGAGGGGCCATTTGTTCTTGCTCTGCAACTCTTACTGCTGCAGCACGAGCCAAAGCCGCTAAGTTCCTTTCCAAATTTCGAACACCAGCTTCTCTAGTGTATCTCTGAATGACAAGTTTCACAATGGGCTGCCACCATAAAGAAGCATTTTAATGTAGTCAGTACAATTTGGCTTTAAAATTGATATAATAAATGTCAATTTTTATAAGAAAAAAGCACTTAGCATAATCTTCCATGCGTGGACATTTCTGAAAATGACTGAGTTAAGAGTGTACTCGTAAAAGCATTATCTGGGAAATTGACTACCTCAGGTATTTGGAGAAACTCAGAAGTCAAGCCATGCTGATCAAGAACTCGTGGAATTAAATGACCCATAGCTATCTTCAGCTTTTCTTCAGATGTGTATCCAGGCAGCTCTATGACTTCCATCCTGTCTAAGAGTGGTGGAGGAATAGGCTGAATCCTATTTGCAGTTGCCACGAAAACCACCTTTGAAAGGTCAAATGGAACATTCAAATAGCTATAGACCTTCTATTAAGGAATCACTTTGATATACTCGCATCCCTGAGAATGCCTACTCAAAGTAGGAAATAGTATATCTACAAAGTCTATACAACATTTGTAAATGATCATAAAGATCATCCAGTATAAAAAGGCTCGTGGCTAGTTAGAAATCTTGGTCCTTATACACTCCCTGCGCTGCTGCGCGGACCGGAGGAAAAACAAGGAAACTTTGTGCTGTTAACTAAAAGATTTTACAACACTTCTTAGAGTATGTATATAGGACTAATCCTTCGCTAGAAGCTGGATTCTAGGAATTTGTTGCTCATCGGTAAAAGCAAGGTCGAAAAACAAGTCTAAAGAAAAAACATCAAATAATAATGAAACAAGTTTATTGACAGTCGAGTCACCAAAAGACAATTAAGAAAGTAGGATACTGATCATTGAACGTCTTATTTTGTTCAGGGTCAAGAACCTCCAATAGTGCTGAAGCTGGATCACCACGTACATCAGACCCCGTCTTGTCAATTTCATCCAGCAGCATGACAGGATTACAGACACCTGCTTTCTGGAATACCAAATAATTTAAATATTAAACTTAGCCTAAACAGTCATAGATATTACATTGATTTGCGTCTGTGGCTCTTTTGCATATAATAGAAGGAAAGAGATATTACATTGGCAGTTTAATATTTCTCAAATAATTTCAAATATTAAACTTAGCCTAAACAGTCATAGCTATTTTTTGGTAGTTGAATATTTCTTAAAGATTGAATTATCAAACTACCTTTAACCCATCAATGAGTCTCCCCGGCATACTTCCAATGTATGTCCTCCTATGCCCTCTAATATCAGCCTCATCCTTGACACCACCAAGAGATATGCGTATGAATTTTCTTCCCAAAGAAGCGGCAATAGATGAAGCCAAAGACGTTTTCCCAACACCTGGCGGGCCAACAAAGCACAACACAGGACCTCTGGCATCTGGTTTGAGCTGCAAAATAAAAAGACTGAACCATATGAGCATCGAATTCCAAACCTAACACGCCATAGAACACTATGGGCCAACAAGAACTAAAATGATCACCTTGCGAACAGCCAAATATTCAATGATACGCTGCTTGACTTTGACTAAACCATAGTGGTCAATATCAAGGCGTTCTTTGGCAGCTCTCAAATCAAATTCAAGTTCCTCAGTGGCTTTCTGCCAAGGAAGATCAGCGAGAAGCTCTAGGTAAACTCGTGAACTATTATATCCAGGTTGCTGGGGTTGCATCTTTTTAAGCCTCCTGAGGCACATGGAAGAGAAGGAAAAATTATACATGAAATAAATCTTCCACATTTGTTTATACGTTCGACAGAAAGTCTACTTTATGTTACTCACAGGCTCATTGACAACAGTTTATCCTCTATCAGTTATCATAGTGATTCTGAAAGTTTTTCAAAAGGTAATATATGTTTTTTTCTTCATTATCAAATAAGTCTTGCTACTGGAGAGGTTTATTGAGGCAATGATCTTGGGAAAACAAAGAAGTCTCGGTGAGAAATGAAAATAAAACTAAAATCAAACAGATGAAGGTTGGAAAGGACGTTAAAATTAATGTAGGCAAGCGATCAGTTATTAGACAGATTAACAATCTGGAATGTTGTAAGATTGTTACGTCATATAGCTCCTTAAAATGCACGGTCAGTAGGATCAGGCATTGTGGTTTTAGGCAAGAACTATATAACTAATCTAGGGCTAATTCTACCCAAGATTGTTATCTCACGTGGCTCCTTAAAGTGCTTGTTATCTCACATGGCTCCTTAAAGTACAAGGACAGTAGGGTTAGACCTTCCTGGTTTTAGGCAAGAACCATCTAACTAATCTAGGACTAATGCTATCCGAATTGAGAAATGATAAAATAATAATAATAATAATCTGGAACTAACTCTGGCAAAATAAATACTAAACAAATAGAGTTAAGACTAAGAGGCGCAACCATGAGATTTATGTTTAAAAACTCCCACAATTATAAGTTAAAAAGCATGCACAAGATTTTGTTATATCTAAAGTATGAATATATGAGACAAAAAACTACTTTGATTGCGACAAGGGAAGTTAGTGTTGCCATAATGTTAATGATGTACGTATAGCTTATTCCGAGTTCTTAAAAGATCATACCGTAATTCCCTCTGTGCATGCTTCCAAATATTTGAAGGCATTCCTGCACTTTGCATCTTTCTTTCCAGGGTAGCTACATCGTCTTCATCATCATCATTGTCCCCAAGCTCCTCTTTGATAGCTCTCATCTGGATAGGAGTTTTTTTGGGGGCACAAGAAAATGTTACTAAATCTAAAAAATATATATAATGGAAAGAAAACCCAAGAGGAAGACCAGAAATCTACCTATACCAAACAGAAAGGACAAAATACAAGGAAGAAACTACAACGAAATGCTGCGGTTCATAAAGATCATAGAGATCAACAATCCTTAAATCCCTTTCCTAAATATATCCATAAAAAACAAAATTGAAATTTATCCCAAGAAATAGCTCATCCTGAAACAAGGATGAAGAGAACAAATAATAGATTAACAAGGCAGCTTGATTTAAGAACATGTAATATGTGAACAGCCATGATTGGGGGAAAAACAGAAGGAAGATAAAGGGAGGGAAAAAAGAGATATCTGTCTTGTTTGAGGGAGTGAAGGGAAAAGAGTGGAGAAAGTATGCAGACACAACGGTCAATATAATTTTGGATCCCTCATTGCTTCAGAAAATCAACATACGATGTGAGAGCTAACCTGCTGTCTCAAAAGAAACTCCTTTTGTGACTTTGACAACTGACCTTCAACTTTTTGTGTAATCTTCTCCGCTACACGTATGGACTGTCAAATGTAGCATTAAAATGACTCCATAGAAGTAGGCAGAAGATAGTGATAGCTGGGTGATGACATTAACCAAAAGTAAATCAACAGGTACCTGTAAATGCCTATCAACTAACTCGGTTGCTTTTGAAAGCCGTACTTTCAGGTCAACTGAGTCCAACATAGACAGTTGCTCCTCAAAACTTATCTCGAAGCTAGCAACAAATATGTCTGCCAACTTGTGAACTGGTACTGTCTCCAAAAGAACTTTCGTTCTGCCTCCAGTTTTTTGTTTCTGTGAAAAGAAATAAAACAGAAGTTGATTGTGGAAATGAGAGAGAAAGACGTGACAATATTATGCCAAAAGAACATCATAAAGCAAACAAAAAGGTAGTTGGTAAAATACTACAATCAACAGCCACCATAGTCCTTAGCCCACCCAAAAAAGAATAACAAAAACAGAATCTAGAACGCAGTCTGTGCAACAGCATAACGACAAGCATCCTCCAAATATACTGACGTATGTACTTCTTCTTGGCACCAAACAGCTATCACAATTCACAGAAGAATGCCTTTCCAGAAAGAATTAAGTGAGAATTCAATAGACAAGCTCCAATATATAAACAAGTAGCATATCAACAAATTAAGAAAAGATATAAAATGTCTAATTTTCAGCCATTAATAGATAAACAGCTGCCTCAAACTTGATGACAAACATGATTACAGAAATATATATAAGGATCAAAATTCAGGCAATAAAATCTAAATAGTAAAGAGGGAAAGGATTAACTGGCTACAGAAAAATCATTACACAAACGACAATAACGGAGAAATGCTTCCAAATTAATATATGCAGATGGCCATGAGTATGCATTCAGATAAGACCAAAAACCATATGGACAAGAATTATTAATATGACGTAATTTTTTTCATTTGCTAAGAAAGCTTCCACAAAAAAATAAAATAAAAAATAATACGTTTAAGGTTTCACCTGCTCAAGAACAGAAATCAACTCCATGGCGGTTGCTTTGAACTGGCGAGACAATGTTATGAAATCCGGATCTTGTTCCACTTGTTCCATCTCTATTAAAAAAATAATAATGAATTTTAAAGACAAAACAAACAAAAAGTTAGAGCCTAAAGCTCATTGTTTCAACCCTGCTTGATTTGTAATCCAACAACCAAATATCATCAGCCAAAAGAAAATAAAGTACTAATAAACTTACCAGCCTTTGTCATTTCAAGAGGAGATATCCTTGCACTGTAATATGTTCCCCTTGTGCTAAGTTCCTGGACAGTGAACCTGCACAAGCCTTCAAGGACAACTATATACGTAACTCTCCCACTCGGCTTCTCCACTCCTCTCGACAAATGTAAAGCACGAGCGGCAACTCCCCTGAGAATTCAAAGATCAAATTTTACCATCACAATTGATACACGACCACCTTCCAAACACACCCAAAAAGTTAACTGTAGAACAACAATATAGGAACAAACCAGATAACTCATGAACATGATTAAGCGTGCTAAACTGTTTGAAATGCCAAAATATTCTTGCTATTTACACCATACAAGGTATATAAAAAATAAAAAAATAAAAAAAAGCAAATGAATAATCTGATTATACCTTGTATGCCAATGAATAGCTTCCTGCTGATTTTTCCCATCAAGCTTGTGAGAATCTGAGGTACCCACTTGAACTCTTGAGTTCCGCTCTCCAGAATCACTTCCCACACCTGATCAAAACGGATTCCATTCAGTATAGCCAGCTTTCCTTTCCACACCAAATAAACAACAAGTCAAAATCACCTTGAGATAACACGGGCCCCACAGTTGTCGTCTCAGCGGCATCTCGGACAGGAAGAATGCCAATTAATCCCTTCTCTTCCCGCTGCCATAACTCTTGCTCCACCAATTTCACACTGCATTGACCAGAATGCAGATCAGCCCATTTCATTTTGTTATCAAACAAACTTTACAGAATTTTAGGCCTCGTTCATTTGACCGACTCGAGTTTTCAGTTTTAGATTTTTACAGTATTTTATTCTAAAAAAATATCACATCTAACTTTTTCTACTACACTAAAAAAACTCTAAGAAAATGTCGCTCGAATTGAAAACTCCCATCTGCGAAATGAACGAGCCCTTAGTAATTCCATAAAATTCCAATCTTCTTCTCTTGTCCTACCAATTCCAGAAATAAAAATTGATTTTTTTTTTAAGGAATTCACCTTAATTAATCAGAATTCCTTTGCTTAATTCAATACAAAAATAATCTTCGGATTAAAAAAAAGTCGAACAAGGCTCAGGTCAGCTGAGTTCACACACGAATTTCAACGCCAAAATTCAAAAATTTCCACATGATCGCAATTCAAAAGCTCCCCTCAAAGCAACAAAAAGCCCGAGGGAAGAAAACTAAAATCTCGACAAGCATAGCGGAGGAAGCATAATATCTCCATGAAAATACAGACGAGAAAATCGATTGAGATCGCAAACAAGGGCTTGAATTCGAAGTACCTGCTCGGCGAAGTGCATCGAATTCGAATTATGGCGCCAGGCAAGAGAACCTTGTTCCTGAACGGAAGGATCCCAAGCCGAGCTGGTAGCTCCACCGACTCCGCCATGTCCGCAATTCAGGAGAGAGAAAACAAGAAATTTAGAGAGAGAAAGTTTGGAATTACGAAAGAGTCGGAAAAGAAGAAGACAATAGCAAAGGCTCTAGAACTAGCCAACTAAGGAATGGGTTCCGTACGGTGGCTGGTTTTGGTTTTGGTTTTAGACTCTAGTCGAAAAAAGAAAGAGAACTCTCAAAACGACGATGGAATTCGCTTCATCATTGCCGTTTCATAATCTCCTGATTTCCAGGCATTCCTAAGCTTTTCACTTCTCCTCCCCACACAGCTTTCGTTTTCTAGATATTTAAACCGGATTTGTTTTCTCTTAAACCCCTTTAACTTTTCGGTATTTCGTTTTACCACCTTGTACATCTCATAATATGCATAATGCCTCTGGATTAATAAGGTCTCGTTCATTTCACCGATTCGAGTTTTCAGTTTTAGGTTTCTACAGTAAAAAGTTCTCAGAAAATGTCACATCTAACTTTTTTTACTACAGTCAAAAGCTCTCACAAAATGTCATATCTCAACTCGAATTAAAAATTCGAATCCGCGAAGTGAACGAGGCCAGTCACTTGTAGTTGCCAAGAATCTTCTTCTTATACATTTATTTATAAATAATTAACGAATATATAAATGAAGCAGGAAGTTTACAATTTGAGTTAAAATATTAGATTTTTTTAGAGTTTTTAATTGTAAAATAAAAAATAAATGTGACATTTTTTGAGAGTTTTTAACTATAAAAACTTGCCTGTTCACTTCACTGATTCGAGTTTTTAATTCGAGTTGAGATGTGATTTTATGTGAGAGCTTTTTACTGTAGTAAAAAAGTTAGATGTGATTGTTTGTGAAAGCTTTTTACTGTAGTAAAACTCGAATTCTAAACTCAAATTAACGAAATGAACAGGGCCATTTCACTAATTCGAGTTTTCAGTTTTAAGGCCCCGTTCACTTCGCTGATTCGAGTTTAGAATTCAAGTTTTTCTACAGTAAAAAACTCTCACAAACAATCACATCTAACTTTTTTGCTACAGTGAAAAGCTCTCACATAAAATCACATCTCAACTCGAATTCTAAACTCGAATCAGCGAAGTAAACGGGGCTAAGTTTCTACAATAAAAAGCTCTCAAAAAATGTCACATCTAACTTTTTTTACTACAATGAAAAGCTCTCAGAAAATGTCACATCTCAATTCGAATTCACAAAATGAACGAGGTCTTAAAATTAAAAACTCAAATCGGTGAAATAAACGAGGTCCTAATAAGACAAAACAATAACTCAAAGACAAGCCACCCCAGTCCCCTTGTCCCCAATTTCGAAGTCCAGAGGTTTTTTTTTTTTTTTTTTTAAGGTTGGAATTTCCATTTCAATTATTAAAAAAAAAGAAAAGGAAAAAAAATCAAAGACGTAAGCAAGTAGAGCTCCTCGACTAGAAAAGTTGTTTTTCCATGTCCTATTATAGGGATTAGAGACTATATTTTAATCCATAAAAATAACGTTCATACGTTTAAATCTTATATTTTGGGGAATTCTCATCAAAAATTGGAAAAATCATGTCACCATCAACTTGAATGGAGATCATAATATATTAATATATTTTTTATTCTGGGAAATTTACATTAAATTATGGCAAAACCATTCTCTCCGTCTAAATAGCTTAAATGGTCTTAAAACAAAAAAACAAAAACAAAAATGGACGTCTGATGTGACAAGTAGGTAGCTCAAATACGCATATGGTTCACATAATGAAATATCAACTATGCCTTTCATTATTTTTTTTTTCTTTATTAAGTAAGACAATCATTTTATTTAGAAGACCACGTAACATTCACCAATTATCTAAGTAAGCATAAGATTACTTTCAAGTACTAATTTTATGTGTGTTTTCTTTTTGCAATTTTAATTACCTCACTAAGAAGCAATTGAAACCTTTCCATAATTCTTAAATTGAGTTTTTACGGTAGTGTATTAAAAAAAATACTTTATTCACAGAATTTTATTTTGAATCATCAGATTTGTTTTTAGGTTATATCAGTTTTATATATTTTTCTTATTTTGATATGATTTTGATCATTACATGTTCATAAATATAAGAGTAAGATGTAATAAGCTCTTGCTAATAGAACGTTAATCATGAATTTTAAAATCGGTTAACATATCCTGTACTTTTTGTGACTGATGTATTTTTGGAATGGTAAAAAATTCTCTTTTACCACTACTTAAGTTTGGAATTATCAAAGTCCTCTTTTGCTACTAATGAGTTTGGAATTGTCAAAGGTAAGGATGTACAAGTAATAAAACTAAACGCAGGAAACAAGGTGGCTAGCTAGGCAGAAAAAATAGGATAAACGGATGTGGTATTGATGAAGAAAGTTAAGAGTGATTCAATGAATAAATCCTTTCTACTTTTACATCGTACTATATTAAGATATGCTTGAATTCTTTGCATAGTTTATTAAGAAAATGCAAAATATTCGGCATTGTGTCGTATTTGCAGCAAAGGAAAAATGTACAAGTCAAAAGTCAAAAGAAGATAGCATCTTTCAAGCCATCTATTAACTCATCAATTAGTTGTCATGTCATGTGCACAATTATCGGATAAAATGCAAGCTGATATTCTCCATATTATTTAGTCCAAGCAATGATTATGGTTTTAACTATTTTATTTATCACCATAGATATTTTGTTATGTTTTTCTCGATATTTTTACTAGATCTATAACTGTAATCATGCTCGTCAAGTTGAAATGTTTTTATTTTAACAAAATTAATATAAACACATCATGATAAAATGATTAAAGTAAAAAACACGTATAGTTAATATAAGTGACCACTTGGCCAAACGACATGGAATGAAACAGAGTGATACTTGAATTTGAAAGGGGCTAGATTCAATCCCACATTGTATGAAATAAAATTATTATTAAAAAAAACAATTTTGACAACTCTTTTTCCTAAATAATTACTTTCAAACTATAAAAAAAAAAAACAAGGGCGTGAAGGACCTATATGCCTTGTTAATTGACAAATGGGCTTGAGATGCAAATAGTAAGATAAATCGATCCTATACAGCAATACCAATACTTTATGGGGACACTTTTGGGAAACCAAGAAGCGCAAAAATGATTGGGGGGCGGGGGGCCTGCGATCAGGTTTAGCAAAAGGTCCCTGTCATAGAAGTTCTGAACCGTCGGATCTGGGGATAAAGGTGGGCAATACGCGTCAAACGAGTGGTGCGTGGTTGCGTCAACACCACGACGTCAGCCTTGGCGTGAGTGGCTACGGAGGGGCACGTCGGCAAGTGGGGCCCAATTTGGTCATTTACCACGTGGAGGGATTTGGATAATGTGAGTGTTCTATGCGGTTGGAGCGTATCAGGCGTCCGTGCACAACGGCCATACAAAGTGGATGCTTCTCTTGAGTTCATACTCTCCGCGTTTCCCATCTCATATACTGGATATGTTTTTTCTCTTTTCTTTTTTCCATTCATTCTTTTTTTTTTTTTTTAAAGAAAAAGGTTATTCAATCATTCCTAGGTAAAAAAAAGAAAAAGGTCATTCAATCATTCCTAGGAAAAGGAAGATAAAAAGAACCACAAGGTTACTTTAACCAAAAAAAAAAAAGTTTTAAACGTGCTTTTCTTTTATTTTCTTTTCTCTTTGAATTGTTTTTCACACTACAACAAAAAAGGCTATTTGCGACGACATTTTTTGCGATAACATTTAATAAAATATTTACGACGACATGTCGTTATAATTACTCATCGTTTAAAAAAATAATCATATTGTCACTAATAACTTAAATATCGTCGCTAATAACTTCAATGTCGTCGCAAATAATTTTGGAGCGCAAATTTTAAAGGCGCGGAATTTTGCCGCCAAGGTAATCCATTTTTTGCAACGACATTTTTTCTTTATTTGCGACGACTTTTTCTCTTTGTCATCGCAAATAATCTTTTCAAGATTTCACCAAAAAACTAAACGCGGGAAAAATGATTATTTGCGATGACATTTTCCATTTATTTGCAACGATAAAGTCGTCGCAAATAATTTCATATTATTTGCGACGACATTTTCTCTTTGTCGTCGCAAATAATCTTTTTAAGATTTCACCAAAATCAAGCGCGGGAATTAATGATTATTTGCGACGACATTTTCAAACTTATTTGCGACGATAATGTTGTCGCAAATAAGTCTGATCTAATATACCCTATCTTCTTCCTTTTCATTTTCTCCCGCCACTTTCTATCTCTCTCCTGCTAAGTCTCTCTCTCTCTGCCTCTTCTTCCCCTCGCCGCCGCCGTTGCCCGTCGCCACCGGCCCTCTTTTCTCTCTCTTCCCTTATCTATTTCTCTCTTCCCTTCTCTCTCTCCCTCTTCCCTTCTTCTCTCTCTCTCTCTCTCTCTCTGTCTCTCTTCCCTTCACTCTCTTTTCTTCCCCTCTCCGGCCGCCCCCGCCACTCTTCTCTCCTCTTCTCTCTCTCTCTCTTCCGTAGGGTGGCACTGGCGCGCGCGTGCGGGGGCTCATTGGCATGCGCGCGGGGGGCACTGGTGAGCACGGACAGGCAGGGGCACGCAC